TTCAACTGACATACATAGGTGTGTTCTGCCTACCTTCCCCATCTTAGCCACGTTTTTGCTACAGCCCTTATGGTGTCATAAGCAGTCATGGAGCAAAATAAGCAGTAGCCCTCCTGGATGACAAGGGAAGGGAAGCTAGGCACAGGACCACCTCTTAAAGTGATTCTAACTTGTACACCAACAGTTATCAAAATAACAACTTTATGTTGTTATTGTTAACAATTGTTAACATTGTTAATGTTTTTCTTTTGTTTCTATTCTTTTCCTTTAATTTTACACAAAACCTTGCAATATGTCCTCCTATTCACCAGCTGTCACCCAGCATTCACCTTGCCCACACCTCATCACTAACTTGCTCCAATGACTTCCAGAAGTCTCAGAGCACACAGCTCTGCTGACAAGGTCGATCACCCTTTCTCTTGCCACATCACAGGACCCCTCACAGGACCGAAGCAACGTCCTGTCTTATGTCAAACAACTTCACACCATCTGACAGATTTAGGTAATTGAGGACAAGCTACCATGCCACACCAGGAAGGAGGAGGTACAGTTTAGGCAGCCAAGTCAAATACATCCACAGACAAAACCTTCAATTTCAGTCCTGACAGAGGAACCAGACCTGACATACAACTTGGAGTACCAGGACATAAGGTGAATCACAACTGAGACAATCATAACTAAGACATGCATTAAGAGATACCTAACACTAAGGAAATAGGTGTGTCTTCTCAATAAAAATGTGTCTGTAAGCAGCATGATTTGGGCTGCCCTGCCAGGGAAGAAAAGCCACAAACCAGTGTGACCCTACCCTAGCAGGGCGTTGCCAGCCCAGAATGAAGTTTTCCAGCTTTTATAATTCTTTAGGTCTGGTTTGCCAAGCTACAAGATCTAGCACCAGAGTCTGAAAGTTTCATACAATTGTTTCAATTACAAAGACTATTGCTTGCAGAAGAACATTTACTCCATTTTACAGCAAAGAATGTTTGTTACTATAATCCTTAGTTTTAGCAGTATGTCTCTCAAATCTCTTCAGTTTACATCTTGGAACTGAAATATAGAATCATACCCAGATGTGTTAATTTTATTATAAATTCTAAGCAGCATAATGGTAATTTCTCTTAAAATACTTTAGCAAATTTCAACCTCTCTCACATGATTTCTTCATATATCTCTTGCAATCATTCCATTTATTAAAATATTCAATTTTTGCCTTTTATGCATCACCTAAATGTAGGAGATAGTACTGAAATTTCCCGGGATTTCAGAAACCATGCAGCTTTAGTTTCTGTCACTTCAAATACACTTTTATTCTTTAGCTACTTAAGAAAAAAATATCTCCTTGCGAGTCTCTTTGATGACACTCCTCTAACCACTAGGTAATCCGTTGGTAATTATAACTTCTTAGCTTCTTTAGCCTAAAAGGGTTGAATTGCCAAAGATTGTCATGAATCCTGGTTTTAAATTATCCAGAGTCCAATTGCTCACTGGGATGGGGAAACTTCTTTCCAATTAAAGCGACTGATTTCATGTAAAACCATGTAACATTTCACTTTTTAATTAGGTATATCCTTATCAAATACAATGAGGTCCACCCTCATTTCATTTTCTACCCAGAGAATGAAATGTAGTGAAAATTAATCATTCACCAATAGATTGCCAGACCTAATAACACTTTCAGCATACCTTGACTACTAATACATCAGTAAATGATGTCTTCTATTCCTGTTTCATTCCAAATATCTACCTGGAAGTCAAGAATAGGCTTAAACTTTTTACATCCAAACATCCCTGGGTACATCTAAAAATATTAAGCCAGTTACAAGTTAAAAAGAGAAAAATGGGATTAATTTAAACAGAAACAATAAAATTCACAAAAATATAGAGCATCAGCTGACACCAGAGCAGGACTACCCACACTTCTGTCATTTGAGTAATTTACCTCCACTAAAATTACTAGTTAAATAAGGATGTGGCAATCCAGACTTCTAATTCTCATGTAGTTCTTGCCTGGCTTAGAGATGGCAACTATCATAGGAAATTCATATCACAGACAACTGACAGGACTCTCCTGGGACACAGTACCTTCATGATGGACACTTCTCACCTGGGCTAAAGCCTCACTGCACAGAACAGAAACAGAGGTAGTGTGCAACTTTCTCAGCAGTTTTCTCTTCTCAGGCCAGGCCTGGGAAAGACTGGCTAGGGACTTTTATACTACAAACAAAGGAAAATTCTAGCAACTGGTTTTGTGAAATCAAACACAAGAGCCAGGAGACAGAGATAATTCACTAGAAGATGAACTGAAAAAAAGGTTCATTGAAAAGAGCCCATCTTACGATTCCCATTCTACATGGGCAAATTCAGATGAGACCAGTATTATACTGCTTTATTTTTAAATCCTTCTAATGCCTCAGGATTCATATCACACCAAGAAAAGTCCTACCTCCAATTATGGATGCAGCTTGCAAGTGCTGACTTAAAAGGAACTCATCAGGACTCTCAGCAACCTGTCGCTGAAGTTCCCCTCGTTAATCTGATGAGGGGAATCAAGATTTCTCTGTCCACCAGGTCTCAAAACCCCAAATACACCTCTCAGAGAAACAGCTCGGAAGGGCCTAGAACTGCTGCATGGACAAGTCTGAAACAAACCTCAAGTAACTAACTCATTCAGCACATGCTCCAGCTCCCAGTATTCCTGTATTCTCCTCACCTGATATTCAGTCAGTCATTGTCTGTTTAATGTAGTCTTCACTCTGTATTTTATGTCTGTAAGATTTTTGCCTTACTGTGTTAAAAAAAAGTGACAAGATGCTAGACGCAATTCAGAAGCAGCAAAAGGTTCCCTGTTGGGTTGATGAATCAGCTGCATAAATCAGTACAAGCTTTCTTGTAAACACACACAAAAGCATGTCTGCTAAGAAGAATGCAAGGCTATCATAAAACAGAAAGGTTGACTAGCTTTTGGAAAGGGGTAAGCCAGAGCTACTACTGAAAGCCAGTACACAAAGTTCAGAAGAATAATTTTTTAAAGTTAAAAAGCACAAGTGGAACCCAGATTAAATATTAATTATTGGCAGGACAAAAATGCTTCCCAAAGCCTTTTCATAATAATACTTTTGTTTCCACAGTCTAATAGGAAAGACTCGTCTTGGAAAGAAATAAAACATACATGAGGGAAGCTTGCTTTTTAGGGAAAAGGGGGATACCAGAATCTAAAATTCTAACATCTTATTCATGACTTCTCATCCTTGTGAAAGTGACAAAAGCAAAAAGATTCAGACACACTGGTACTTCACATCATGACGTGATTAAGTTTTATTTTCTTCACATAATTTGTTTAATTACTTTGCGTTACAATAAGTTGGCAAAAACCTCAAAATAGTAGTCTTAAAATGATGACTTTTCAGATAGGAATGTAACTAAAACCCAGCACATTCCACTGACTTCCTGTGAAGTTCCATCAACAAAGGGACAATACATCATTATCATTATTAAACTGTTACTACTGTACTGACATTACATAAAAATGAAAAAAAAAAAAATCCCCATTCTGTACCAAAGAGTTTACAGACTGCAGTAATGCTAAACACTGTGACAGTAGGAGATAGCTTCCATGCAAGTTAAAATAGGAGGTTAGTGTCAATATAAGGTCATTGGCAGTAAAGTTACAAGCTGAGAAACAAAAGTAACTCAAGGGTACTATACTAGAAGATCTTCTGAAGATCTTTGCATAAGCATAGTTCCTTCTCTAGCCCAAAGTCTGCAATAAGGTAGAAGGATCAAGGGAGTAAGAAGGTCCAAAAATGTGATGTAGCGTCAGGAAAAGGCAGAATCATAGAATCATAGAATTAACTGGGTTGGAAGAGACCTCCAAGATCATCAAGTCCAACCCCACTGTGATTACTACACCATGGCACTCGGTGCCACATCCAGCCTTGTCTTAAAAACCTCCAGGGACGGTGAATCCACCACCTCTCTGGGCAGGCCATTCCAATGCCTGATCACTCTCTCTGGAAAGAACTTCTTTCTAATATCCAACCTAAACTTCCCCTGACAGAGCTTAAGCCTGTGCTCTCTTGTCCTATTGCTGAGTGCCTGGGAGAAGAGACCAACCCCCACCTGGCTACAACCTCCTCTCAGGGAGTTGTAGAGAGTGATGAGGTCTCCCCTGAGCCTCGTCCTCTCCAGGCTAAACAACCCCAGCTCTCTCAGCCTCTCCTCATAGGACTTGTGCTCAAGTCCCTTCACCAGCCTGGTTGCTCTTCTCTGGACCTGCTCCAGCACCTCAATATCCTTCCTGAACTGAGGGGCCCAGAACTGGTCACAGCACTCCAGGTGTGACCTCACCAGTGCTGAGTATAAGGGAAGGAATCACCTCCCTGGTCCTGCTGGCCACACTGTTCCTGATCCAGGCCAGGATACCATTGGCCTTCTTGGCCACCTGGGCACACTGCTGGCTCATCTTCAGCCTCCTGTCAATCAGCATCCCCAGATCCCTTTCTGCCTGGCTGCTCTCTAGCCACTCTGTGCCGAGCCTGTAGCGCTGCAGGGGGTTGTTGTGGCCAAAGTGCAGGACCCGGCACTTGGCCTTGCTGAACTTCATCCCGTTGGAGTCAGCCCATCTCTCCAGTCTATCCAGATCCCTCTGCAGAGCCCTCCTGCCTTCCAGCAGATCGACACTCTCTCCCAGCTTGGTGTCATCTGCAAATTTGCTAATGGTGGACTCAGTCCCCTCATCTAAATCATTGATAAAGATGTTAAACAGGACTGGGCCCAGCACTGACCCCTGGGGGACACCACTGGTGACCGGCCACCAGTTGGATGCAGCCCCGTTCACCAGCACTCTCTGGGCCCGGCCATCCAGCCAGGTCCTAACCCAGCACAGATACCCAGAGGACAAGACTTGCATTGACTACAGCTGGACAAAGCTCCAAGTACAAAAGCCTACTGAACTGAAACAGTGAAGAGGCAGAAAAAGTACTGGAGCAATTGGAGAGGGAAGACATTTAAGAAGAACCAGACAAGAAAGTCTGCTGCATTTTGGGCTAGAAAGTCAGTGCAGAGAAAGTCACCAGTCCATTGAGTGGAATACAGCAATTCAGTTTGGCACAAAGATAACAAATTAAGAACAAGTTTTTGGGAGCAGCAAATATGCATACTACAAAATAAGAATATAAAATTAATAATCTAGGATTTTAATATACAAAATGCATAGAGAAGTAAAAAAATCTTATAAATTGATTTAATCAGATGCATGAATCTTAGCTTTAAACTAATAAATGATAATAGGAAAAGAGGCCCAGTCCTGCAGACTTTAACTGCAACCAGTTATTTGCAATTGTTATGACAGTACTTCAAGCACGGGAGCAGTAGTCTGAAGGTAGGGTTTTCAAGTCAGGAACACTGATATTAACTCCTAAATACTGCTGGTGGTATACTGTTGGAATATATCCAATAAACCAACTATACGTCCTTAGGGACCATGTTAGCTTCACTGTGCAGTCACAGAGTATGTAAAGCATTACAGAAAGCTTACGACAAATTTTGCTTCCTGAAGTTTACTAAAAACAAGACATTGCTGAAGTAATTTGTGACTAGAAGCAAGAAACAGACTAGGATCCATAGCACCTTACAATGCTACTCATATTTTAACTACATGTTGAGAATACTGTTTTTCAAATGATCAGTCTAGGGATCCTCACCTTCAGCAAAGACAAGACTGCCAAGTCATTGCAAGACTGGGCCTCAATCCCACACAGTTAACTAAAATAGCTACAGGAACTAAATGAAAATACAACTTGTGCGCTATAGCTGTGCAGTACCACAGTAACTTTCAAACTCTTTAGCTTTTATTTCATAGATGTGCAGCATGGCTCTAACCCATGGGCATTTATGACTGATGCATCTGCATGAAGCTTCTCATGAACGTTGCAAGCTTCTGAACATCTTCTACAGTCACCGCATTATATAAAGAGGCACGGATTCCTCCCACAGATCTGAATTGAAAAGAAGAGAGAAGAAAAAATCCCAAAAGTTTTGTATATTCTAAAAAAAGAAAACATTAATAACATTCACAGGCATTTAAACCCATACCTACTCTAAAAGGATAAAATTCACATTTTATGTGACTGAGAAGCAATATTTAATTCTTCAAGGCAAGCTTGCAATTTAGAGAAGCTTAGTATTTAATAGTTATTTACAGTTCCAAAGCTGTACCCCTATGGCATCAAAAAGCTAATCCCACAAACACTACTGAACATGGGAAAGAACTCTTGCCACTAGGAAGACAAGCCACCAGAGAGGCTTCATACAATGACACCATCTAATCAAGTGACCCCTTCTTTGGCATTTGCACAGAGATAGATTTGCCAAAGAAAGAAGAATTAAGAAGAAAGCTTTTTGAAGCCCACCACCACATCGAAGCAGTAGCTGAGACACCAGCAGTCTCTGATTACAGTCTCTAGACTCATGTCAAGTGGTGCCAAACCAACATGAGAAAGAGCTTATGATGAGAAAGGCTGGTAAGTCAATGCACAATGCCTGCTGCTGTATCACCACTCTAGTAATTGTTTGTTCTGCACAGGAAAAACATTAATCTGATTTATACTTACCGATGTCCTTTCAGAGATATCATGTTAAGTTCCACAGCCTTCTCAAGAAATTTCTTTTCCAGGGCTTCATCACCCTTAACACTGCCAATACGGAAAGGGACATTCATTCTGCTTCGGTTCTTTCTCTCCACTGGACATCTAGAAAGATTGTAGAATGTAATGCTTAGCCCATTTTATGCTAAATTTATGTTTTCAGCTATATACAGTTTTAGAATGTTTAGAACCAAAGTTGATCCTCTATAATCAAAAAGGTCATTACTTTCTGTGAAAGAAAGCAATCTTCCTTTTTTAAACAAGTATATTAATGGAAATGGTGAAGTGGAAAGCTTGTTAACCCTTCCTGACATACTCAAAATTGCCCCGAGAAATGTGTGAGAGGCTTGCACACAGACCAAATAAAAACCAAACCAACAAAAAAAGCCATAACCAAACAAAAACAACAACAAAAAACCCAAGCAAAAACACAAACAAAAACCCAAACAAACAAAAAATTAAACAAACAAAAAAATAAACAAACAAAAAAATAAACAAAGAAAACAGTTACTTAGGATAAGTGAAGTTAGTTACAGGGAATTCTGAATAAGTCTCAAGAAGTTTCTTTTCTTTGTCTTCAAAGACTGACACACTTATTTTTTACTCAGGTAGTCAAACATGATACCAGAATTAGACTCAGCTACACAAAGGTAAAGGAAGTACAAAAACACAACATTAGAAAATTTCCATGGACATTAATGACTTCTGTTAGTGGTTTCAGTCCACTTTCTAAATCAGTATTACTCAGAAGCATGAACACCTCAAGGAGAGAAGAGGTATCTCTAGAACAAATGTGGCATTGTGTACATGGCCACAACATATACAAGATGCACCACGGCTCTTTAATACCTTAAAATCCCACCTAATCTGAAGTGGAAAATTCAGAATACATTTATTTTCTCTTCAATTATTTTGTGAAGGCAAGAAAGGATGGGAAAAGGTTAGAAGATTTAAATATCGTTCTTCAGTGATTCTAGTACAAAGGAGGTATGAAGCCTTCAGATTTATTCTTTCCTAAGGCTGTGATGAAGATTCTTACAGTCATTCATTAGGAATAAGTTCTCATAAATTGCATGTACATTTCATATCTATTATTATTCTATTTGGAAAAGAATGGGTATCATTCTTCTTAGTTTCTCCCTTGTTCCATTGTCCATATGTCCCCATAACGAAAAAGAAAAAAAATCCATCATAATACCTGCCTACGCAAATTTTCTGCTTCAGGCTCAACCACAAAAACACTCTTCAAAAAGGTCTATGCTTGTAAGCGTTCCCATGTCTGAGTTACTGTAGCCGTGCTATAGTTTTTATAATATTCAGTTGCTGTTAAGCAAGCTAATGCAACTCGGTGCACAGACTTTGGAAAGCAAACTGCAAATAGCACATAGCACTTGGCGGAAGAAAGGTTCAATTTGCTAAATGGCTTGCCACTCTGCTAACCCAGGGAAGCATTCCACAGATCAGGTGGCACATTACAACTGGGAAGGCAGCTTCAGATTAAGTCTTCCTTTTAGTCATAGATACAGTAAAAAAATTCACAATCTTAACTGTATTGCTTCAGAAGATGCATTACAGCTCAGTCAGTGAAGCTTGTTCTGTTTTCCCAGCTGACTATTTACCATCCCATCTGCATTGCATATCCCACTCACTGCCTTACAGACCAACTTGATAGAAACAGATTTCTGTTTGTCACTGGATGTTTTTTTCAAGGCTTTATTTGCTTTCTGAGTTTTATGAAAAGCCCTCTGGATTTTGTGGGAGTAGGATCATAATTCAAATGTACTACATATTATGATGAAACCTTATCCCTGCCAATTAAGACTGCAACCAGTTTTATTCTGAAACCCAAATTTATTTTGCCATATCCAAACTTGGACTTGAAAATTAGTTTGGTCCCCTAACTGCTGGTTTTATACTGAAAGTGAAGTAAAATATTTTGCATTTTCACACCCAATTACTAGTTTGAGCTTGGTGAATAATAAAAGTATTACAATTTCAGTTTTAACTATACATAGGTCCTGTGAGTTGAAAAACACCTCACAACAATATGTAAAAATCAGAGGGTTAAATCTGCTTTGGAAAGCCATCAAAATAACTGAAGAAAATAAACAGTACATAAAGGGTTGGACTTGATGATCTCGAAGGTCTCTTCCAACCCAGTTAATTCTATGATTCTATATAAAGAAAATTTATTCCACTTTGAAGTCTGATCATCTTTTATTTCAGAAAGCATTTCAGTACTAAAATGCACTGCTTGACAGAGAAAAAGCAGAGTCTTTGACTACTGGACAAGGTGGTCGGAAGACTACAATGCTAAAGTGGTTTCTACAATTTCTTTCTTAAAGGCAACTTTCTCTGTTTTGCTCTATATTTCCCCAAGAGATTCAGTAAGCATACAAACCAGAATCTGCATAGCTGGGTTTCGTATACTCTTCTCCTAGGCTCCTGCATTTTATTAAGTTTAGAATATGTTTTCAGTATGCTTCAATATTGATCTATACAGGATATTTTGGAGTAACTTTCTACTGGAATAAAAGTCACCTTTGGACAGTTACCAAGCAAATGGTTTGCACGAATAATTTCTGTGGGAGTCCTCAAAATGTGACTTTAAAAATACACTGCGATCAAACTCTTGAAAGTTATGAACATGTCTGGCTCTGTAACGAATACTGAAACCAAAGGGAAAAGTACAGCAACTTACGCATAAAATCCATTAGATTTGTCTATAATATCATAAATCATTCGTGATTTGATTAAACTAAGTTTATCCATAGCTGCAGCTCCACCATTATTCTTTATCCATTCCAGTACCAATCCCATGATATAAATACTGCAAAAGGAAAAGAACATTTTTCAGTGAGATTTATTTAAACAGGAAAAGAAAGAAGTCTTGTCTAGTAGTTCGCAAAATGTTTCAGCAACAAATCTGCTGGACCAAAGATAATCCTTTGTATCACAGAAGTCCATGTCCTGCAGTTTTCCTGCAGGGCTCCCAAGGACATCCCTAGACATGATGCATGGACTGCCAATTCATTGACTACACAACTGCCTGTCAGGTCCTAGAAGGAGCCAGATTTAGCACAAAAGTTAATAGCATTCACCCTGCGCAAATTCACCCTAGCAAAAATACAAATCTCAAATGCATGTGCATTAATAATACCAGAAATTTAACCACATCTTCACAAATGTTAAAAATAAAAACTTTAATCCCATTTCTGTCTAAAAGGACCTTTTGCCCACATGAACTATGAAGTTTGGCAAAACAAATAATGATGTAATACACTTTAGTCTTCATTACCATTCAAGTTCTAAGAAGAGATCAGGAAGCCTACTGGCATCACATGGCTTGGGACTAAGTATTTCAAAGCTAGTTACTAAAGGCAACATAAAAAATCCTTGAAGCCTTTTGCCTTTGTGTTTTGCAACAAAACTCAGCTTGTTCAAGTTCAGGCATTTCCCACGGCTACAACAATTTACATAAAAACCTGCTCACAAGTTTTTATGGCCCATTTCCAACAAGTTTGTTCTTATTAGTTACTTCATTATAGATTCCAAGGGAGTGCTCAGAAAACACTACCCTAAAAGTTTCCTATCTAGAAGGAGGCTGTTTTAAATTTTGTTGCTTTTAATTTCTAAGAGGATGACAGTACCAGATCTTTGAACATTGTAGAAAAGCAGACTAATCAAGGTTACAGATTGCCTTTTATAAGCACCTTATAGCTCTGAGAGCACAATCTTGCCACATTTATGACAGCATGCTATCAACTACGCCAGCATAAAGGATTTAAATGTAGTATAGCCTACACCCTTGCCAAATATAAAGGGCCACATTCACCTCTTGCCCTCACTTCATTGAGCAAAACTTCTTGGACAAGTTAATTCCAAGAAGTCAGTCTTACAGTCATTCACAAAGCCGAGCCAGATGAAATCTCTTATCTTTCTTTTGTGTCAGTCAAAAGAATGATTTTGGAACAATTTTAAATGCAAATTCCAGAGCTTGGAAATTAGATTTTTATAGCAAATTCACTGTCAAATTTAGCTAAACAGAACAGGGTCAAAGAGTCAGCTCTGTAGCACCATGAGGTTAAAGCCATTAGCATCACCTTAATTTAATTTAACATCCCGCTGAAGTAGCTTTTGCAAATTCAGTTAATATTTCATGCCTGTTTGCCAGCAAACCATTAGCAAGTGAAAGGAAAAGGGTAGAGAAAAAGAGAAGTAAGAAGCTTTGCCAGTTCCTTAAACTGGAACAGACAGTAAGAGCCAAGCCAAACAGATGTGCATCTTGCCAACACTACAGTCCATTACATTCTGGATTCTGGAGTGTACTCCAGTGTGCGTCTGTAGCATGAAGTGAAATCTGCCAAGATGGTGACCAGAAATGAGAAAGACTTAGTTTAACTTTATTTTCAGCTCCCTTAACCTGCCACTACCCTGTTAAGGTTACTGACAGATACTGAGTTATACCTAAGGCAGCACTTTCTTTTTTTTAAGTTCTTTGCAGTGGCTAAAATACAGCTGCAGAATTTTATTTGTTTTGCTATTCAAACAGAGGAACAACACTGTGTTCAAGTGCTGCGATTAAGTAGAACTTCAGTTTTTCAAATGGAAATAGCTTTGTACTTGGAAAATATCAATGGCTGGATTTCAAAGCTGGCATTTTCAAGTATACAGTGTCCAAAAACAGTATGTGTGACTTGGCAAATAATTGATCCTGAAATAGTGGCGTCATCAGTCACTGGGAGGGAAAAAAAAAAACAACAAAGACATACATACTGCCTATGTTACAAAGCTACGTTTAGAAGACAAAAATCTGGAAACATTGTATAGTTAATTCTTAAGAGCAGCCCTAAGGATACTCGACGTACCCAGCCAATAGGGCAGACAGGTTGCCAGAAAGAATACATCATTACAGCACTACATACTCTACAGTGTACATATAACTTGGGAAAAGAAATTCTGCACTGTAAAATCTGCAATAAACAAATGCTCACAAGATATACCGTTCTTCTGACACAGACAACTGCCCCTATGTCACTGCAATAATACACTCTGCAGTGACAATCAGCACATTCAGAGATAAAATCAGTATCACCTCAAATTTTACTGAATTTAAGTAAGCAATGGCATTAAGTGATAGGCCTCACACACAGGAATCACTGAACTTTACACCCACACAGTGCATTTAATATCTGTTGCAAATCAATAGGCAGCCAAACTTTCCAGATTCTGGCATGTACAAACAAGGTGTAAGAGCTGAGACTAAACACTGCCTTATCAGATTATTTGAATCAAAAGGAAATCTTACCTTGAAAAGTAGAATTTGTTATTTTCAAAGATATTTTTTAAAAATGGGGAAAAAAAGGATACCTGGATTGACTTTTTTTATCTTTTAATCATTTCAGTGCAGTTTGGTATACAAATTCTTCCAATTAAGAATGGGAAGGTATTACTGGTTCAACATCTAAATATTCGAGTAGCAAAGCATCATTTCACTAGCTACCAATCAGAAGCTAGGAGATATCAATTTTAAAAAGGTAAGTTGTAGTCTGTTCTGCTTCTTGTGTATATGAAATCACCAGGTATATGAAAATTTCATGATCTTGATTGCTAGCAATGATTAGGAAGCTAGATCAATTTTATTTTTGGATATCAAGTCAAACACTGAGACAGTAGTCAAAGAAAAACAGAGAATCGTACTAAAGAATAAAGCAAAGCAATGACTAAACTGCCTTTAAAAAAATCTTTTACAGTATCATTTCAAAATCAACAGTGGTAAATACATCATTTTGTGATATTTTATATAATTTAAAACTTTAATAACAATATTTACTATTATCCAGTAAAGAAAGTCAATAGGGATCTGAAGTTTCAAATGCTGAGAAAAACCTGAGGAGAAAACTGTACTTAGTATCCAAGAAGGAAGTATAAGTGCCAAATTACCTATTTGCAATGACAGAAGTATCCCCACTGAACTGACTAGAGCTGTGTTCTTGTAAATCAGAACTGCATCCTGAAACTTTATACAGTGGACTTACAACATAGAATATTTACTTTGAAAAAGACTATGCCCTTCATAGCTGAGTCGCAGCATGCAACCCAAAGCCTACAACAGTCACATGGCTGGACGCCCTATGTTTTCACAGGAGTCACGTGAAAGACTCCAATATATAAGTGACTTGAGGGCAAAAAATACTTAACTTTGGAAGCTTTTTTAGGTAAGAGCAGCAGATGGCAGTGCAGCAGCTTTCTGAAGAAGGGATATCACATAGCACGGTGACTTACCTGTAGCATGGGGGAGTGTTATACAAAGAGCTATTCGTTGCCTGTGTTTTGTAATCCAGTACAACAGGGCATTCCTTCAGTGCAAATCCCAACAAGTCCTCACGTACTATTACAACAGTAACTCCAGCACAGCCAACGTTTTTCTGAGCACCAGCAAAAATCACACCAAACTTTAAAAGGAAGAAGAAAAGAAAGGCTTGCTACATGCATTCACTTACAGCTGAGTAAAACAGCAGGGTCGTTATACAACAGGCATGCTACTCAGCTGAACATACCACAGAATGTGTGGAAAATGAGCAATCTGTAGGTCAAAAGAAGAGTCAGGAGAAGTTCTCATTACAAAGTTCACTTAACAGCTATTCAACTGAGGAAGATAATCACAAGTTTCACAACAATTTGCTAAATGTTTATTTAATTACCACAAATTATTCTCAAGGCAGCCTGTCCAAATTTCACACTACTCTAAGCAAATTTACTAAAGATAAATTCAGACACAGTTCACGGTATTTTTAACCCATCTGGTATTTCAGAACAGGTATCATAAAATCCACCTGCTCAAACAGGAAGATCAGGAAAAGCCAAGATGAATGTACTAACAATTACTCCTTTTTGCTACACACAGGTAAGAAATGCCAAACATGCTACTTCACTAGTCGGTAGCACTTCTACTCATAACACACTTTACAAACATAGGCAAGTACTATGTTCTGCCTCTGTATTATCTGTGAAGTAGACATCGTAATTATGCAGCACAGGAAGCTTTGGGAGCTTAAAAGGGGTTACAGATTTCTCATGTAAAAGACAGGATTAAAATATTTAATTCACAGTACCCTGTATAGACAACATATATACTATCTATAGACTAAATATGATTCAAATGATATTTCTTTCAGCTAAAACATCAGCGAAGACCATCAAATAGACAAATAATCTTGGGCAGCTATTAATATGGACAATTTTAACATAGTTTAGTAAGTTTTTATGAAAAAATAAGGAAAACAGATAGACATGGAAATCTCAAACTTGAAAATTCAACACTTCTATCCATAATCAGATATTCAATTAACAAAACATCCTTAATTTCACTGCTCAGCATCTCTGGCCATCCAGACATTTCAAAGTGCTTAATTACACGTATTCAAGTTTGAAAATGCTTTGGGTGGCCACTGGATCCAATACTCTACCTTGGAAACATCCACAGGTCTGGACAGGAAGTTTGATGACATATCACAAACCAAGACTGCTCCTTTGACATCAGGTACAAAATCAAACTCCACACCATGGACAGTTTCATTAGCACAGTAATAGACGTAAGATGCATCTGGATTCAGATTCCAAGTGCTTGGGTCAGGAATGTCTGAGACAGACAAAAAAGAAACCCATAGATCAGCTGAAGATAGGTAATTTTCTTGGCATGCAATTTTACTTGAATATAGAACCTAAGTGCAAATGCAGAACAGTTTGCAGTATAAAATATTAATTATCTTGCTACGAGGAAGATAGTATATCTGCAAAGCAAATACACCAGTGCATTCCTGAAATTCTCTGGTGAGCCATCATTAATCTTGCAAAACCTTTTCATTTTCACCCCTTATTTCTCAAACTATTTTCATCAAGTTTGCAATTCCAGACTATAAACTACTGTCTTAGGGGTCTAAAACAGCATTTCAAAGGAATTCAGGCAGTGGGTTCAAGAATTCTCATGCTGCCTTTGGAACCACTGAAGCATCCAAATTCTCACTGTCAAAGTTCTCTAAAGCTGTGTTTCTGTGCAAACCCAGAAGCATTTCAGTCTCACCCAAGCTGAACAAACACAAGGCTATCTACCTTCCTCCCATTTAAACTTTGCAACTGATTTACATAACTGTAAAGATTTCCTATGTCAACAGTCAAGATATAGGCATGTCCTGACAGCACAGAACAGGTTTTGCATAGAACAAATAATTGCTCTTCCTTTCTTTTATCCAATTGGTCTTCCTTTCTTTTCTCCTCCTCCTGAGGGGAGACAGAGTGGGGAGGGGAAGATTATTTACTGCCTCTCCCCTTGTCTACAGCTACCAAATAGTGAATATGCTCCCCTAGACTGGAAGCTTGTAGGTTCCATTCCTTCCTGTGCCCCATTCAAATGCTATAATTTGGACCACAGGGAAGAAAAGTGAGCAAAACTAGTAAGAGTAGAAACTAGAACTAAGTATTCCTGCTCCAAGAATTATTTATGTATATTCAGTGAAACAGAGGCGGGAAAGATAAGTATTTAGGAATCCTTACAGGTAGGCAACAGAATGCAGGTCTCTCATATATTGGGTCAAGAAGGTTAAAATCCTGGACACGCTTCTAAATTTTAGAGCAATCTCATTACTGACTACACATGAATCTGAAACACCTCACAATATCCCTGTGAATAGCTTAAGAACTCAGTTAAATATTAAAAAAAAAAAACTGAGACAACCCAGACCACTTCCCTGCTTAGACACTTGCTTCCTGCCACTTATTTTCTGGGATCTGCTCAGTCTCATTTCGCAATTTTTTTTCTGGTGGAGGCTGTTAAGCCATTTAACAGATCTCCCAGTGATGAATGCTGAGAGATGTGGCAGACAACCTTTTGAGTGCTGGCCAGTCAACTCTAGTTAACATTTAACAGCCCAATAGCAAAGTTGGATCAATTTTTAGAGCAAGGCTAAAAGCTAAGCATTCACGCAGATGGATGCAATCATCAACTTACTTGTATAGGCTCCCAGTTTCGGATGAACGATATTCACCTTGGCATACTTCTCTGCTTCTTTAGCTGCTTTTGCTGACCAACCTCCAGTAACCACATAATCTGCCTGTCTTCCCTCCTTTAAACCAATGAGGTTAAGGGGGACTGCACTGAACTGAGCAGATCCACCTCCTTGAAGGAAAAGAACTTTGTAGTTGTCTGGTATATTTCTGCATAAAAGAAATAACCATTTCTATTATTCCCAGAAGACATGGGATGCATATTATTCGATACCATGCATTTAACACCAACTGATGAAGAATTCTGTAATTTTAGAAGACTCTTTGCCCAGAGGTTAGACCAAATCCTATTAACTTACCTCAGCACTGGTCTTGAGTAACAAATATTTAAGAGTAATGCTATACATTTCAGTGATATAAATTTGCTGAATAGTTTTCCTTCCCCACCCCTGAGGACTGCATTAAATGAATTCATTTCTGAGTAGCTGTACAAACATAGTACACAGAAACTTGAATGACATTCCATCAGAACTAATGCTGACTTTTAATTTTGTCTATTGCTACCTTCACAGGTTTTCTGTCAGGCTAAGAACTGCACACTGAAGTGCTCACAGTAGAATTCCACTTCGAGACCCTTCAGTTTGAAAGTGCAGTGGTACAGTAAATTACACACACAGAGCAAGTGTTGCTCATATAGTCACAAAAATTACTTGTTCAAATTATTCAGCAAAATCCCTCTGTCAGTAGTTCTGGCTGTGATTGAGGGTCAAGTACTCATATTAAATGACCAACATTATTAACTACTATGAAAATAGTAATTCTAATCCATTATATATTTATTTCAAACTTTAAAAAAATGTGTCATTCTGCAAATACAGAAAGAGCTCTTGATCGGTGATTCTAACACACGTCCATAGTGCTCATGTTAATAAAACAATAATACAAGCAATGCAGAGATCACCCCTATACCACTAGAGAACTGATTTCTATTGTTTGCTTTTATCCCTTTAAGGTCATGTCCATCATGAATTCTATAGAGGTGACAAAAATCCAAATTTCAAAACATAGTCAACTTTTCAATGTATAGTAACCATATAAAAAACAACTTAATAGGAGTTCTTTGTCAAATTCAAAAATATAAGTATCAGACAAACAGAAGATCAGTGCCCTCCCTGAGATTATTACTCTATCATACACAGTACCTACGCATGGAAAAACAAACTAACAGGTACTTTCATGGAAAGTTCTCCACATTATTGATGTAACTAGAACAACCATAAAATAAAAATAAGCAGAAAGTAATTCACTTACAGTAATTCACGCATGAGATTTTCCGTTTTATTTAAAATTTTTGTGAAATCTGAGGAACGGTGGCTCATTTCTTCGGTGGAACAGAAAGAAGAAACAGCATGAAACAGGATGGTAATACATGAACTTGATTTAAAAATTCTGTTAAGCTTCAAACCTTTTACACTACTGACCCAAAATGTCGGAAGGTTGTCATTCCCAGTTCCCATTCCTATTTCTTTTTTTTCAACCCAACCCTTTCTAAGTGCCCACAGAAGACTTATATTTGCAGTCTTGTCCAGATACAGGCAAAACCTAACCACTGACATTTGGACCTACATGACTTTACTACCCCCCAAGAGCAACTACATTTGCAGGGGGAAAAAAGTTACTCCCTAGAGAGGTTAAATTTTTCCTCACTCTAAGGATCTTATCTGCTAATAATGCTATAGCAATTATATAATAAGGTACAGGAGTTTGTTTTGTTCTATTATTTTTAGCAAGGCTTCTTCATACTGTTATGCTATAAGAACACTTAATACTAATCCCTTTTTTAAATTCATAGGCTGCCTTCTATGTGTAGGTGGACAATTTAAACATTAATCCAATCTGTGCAGTTGCACATTTTACTTTTAGCAACTAAACAGTTTCATAGGACTAGTAAAGTGCTGACCATCTTGTTCCATAAATCTTTTGTGCAACTGGGGCTAAAAAGCCAGTCAGCTACCTATACGGCACAAAAGACATCTCCTCCTTATGGCAAGACAATATTACCTTCCTAATGGGAAGGATGCTATACATCAAGTTTACGTAAAGTATTTTGCCATCCGGTATGTAAGATACTATATATGGTATCTATACACACAGAGGTATACAGTACATTTGTATACAGTATGTGTGTACACATACACAGCCTTTCATAGATATGTAAAACCTTTATTTTATAAATTGCCTCTCTCTCTTTTCTCTCTCTCTCTCTATACATACACATCTATTCCAAAGACCTGAAAGTACTAATGTTTGACATATGATTTGTTATCTTTTCTCTCTAGTCCTTTGTTTTGAATCTCTAAACATCAGGCTATGTATCATTTTAGAGTCCTCTAATGAATGGTAGAAATAGGCCATGAAGCAGGGGTCTCTGGACATACATGCTACAAGAATAAGGTATTTGAAAAGGAGTTGAAACACCAAGATCAAAAAGTCTTATTAAACAATTCTGTTAAATATTGAAATTCTGAAAAATGTAGAATTTTTTAAGTCTTACCAAGAACACTTATACCAAGTCCTTTGTAGTCTACCAACTCTTTCTGTGCTTCTAATAATACCTAACAAAAGAAAAAAAATCCAGAAATAAATTAAGGGTTTTTTCAATTATCTGGCATCTCTGATGCACTGCATCTATGCCAGCTGCTCTACATTGCAATAACCTGACACTTGTCAAATGAGATTAACAGAACTACAGTCATCAACATAATTTCACTGTATCTAGTAGCAGAAGGTTTTCATAAGATAGCAAACTTAAATCATATGCTTGTCGTGGAGACCATGTTTTAAGTTAGCATTTCAAAAGTTACATTTCCAGATTTCAGAATGATTTCTAGAAGTCAAACGGAACGCTTAACCTTTACAAAACACCTAATGTGTGCATACATACTCTTTCTAAGTAAGCGTCCCAAATACCCATACCCACCCCTGCATCTGTGATCTTTCACTTGATTTGTGTAAATAGGACAACCAAGGTATTGAAGAAATAATAAAGAAAAGGTCAGCTTGGGGAACTGGATACCTTAAACTGAGCCAACGGGACAACGACTGATTTTACAGAATGAAGCCCACACTTTTTGAGGATGAGCCTTTTCTATTTAATGAAAGTTATGAAAGAAATGAAGCAAAATTTTGAGACCACCAAAAAAAAAACAGGTCACTCCTAGAAGTCCTAGCCAAGTAATCTTCTGCTTCAGCCTTCCATTTTTTTTCTGTCTTCTCCCATATATCTTGAATATTAACAAAGTAGAATGAGATTCTAGCCACTGGATCTGCAGCTTCTGATTTCAGTAAATTCTTGTATGAGTGCCAGAACACTCTCAGCTTTCCTAAAGGAAGTGGGAGAAGAGGAAGCCCCAGTAGAACAGTCACCAAAACAAACACTGCATTGAATGCACCCCAGGATTTAACAAGAAATTGCATACTCTGGACAGTTTCAGTAACAAGAGATCTATCTTGCTGACAGGGTATCTGAACGGCCTGTAAAACTGTAACAGCTGGTCAGCAAGAGGTCAACTGAAAACAGTTGTGCTGCTTTTCATTTTAGAGATTGTTAAGTTTTTACTACCATCTTCCACAATCAAATTTATCCATGCCAGAAAAGGGGGGGGAGAAATGAAAGGGAGCACACAGATTACTAGAACTGCTTGATAAAATACAGTTCTACTAGTAACATTTATCAGACAATCTGCCCATGCCTGACAATAGACATCTATAACACGTCTTATAATAGCCACAAATTGCTCCATCCACCTTCATGCTTCAGTCAGAGTACTTCACGTGAAGCACCATCAAAGAGAAACAAGTGAGGTGATAGAGTAGTCCACAAAAGAACACTGCATTTCAAGAGAAGAACACAAATTAATAATACAGCATTCAGCCATGCCCTTCTCAAACCCTAAATCCAGTTTTCAATAGTCTCTCAGAGATCTGGTTACTACAGCAGTCCCACTGAGAGCCCCTTTCGGAAACCAAGGGTTCAAGACAGAACAACAAATTTCTTGGCAACCGCGTCTACAAAGGACGTTTCCGAGAGAAAAAAGAAACGGGGGTGGAGAGAGAGGAGGGAGAGGGAACAAAAAAGACAAAAAAAATCAAGAAAGCTGCTCTGTAGCAAATTCATTTGCCTAAAGAAAAATTTTAAATAACACATATATTCCCTTCCCCTATGAAGAAAATTAAGAAAAGAAACAAAAAATCTACAGTACATAACCCTTAGTTGAAAGTCAGATGCGTAGAGTTTGGAAGAAACTTCCCCCTCTCCACATCCCACTGGATAATCCACGGCTGCTGATGCAACTTTCCAGAGGGTTGAGTGTACACCACAGTCATTATAATTTCTGAAATAAAGACTTCTCATGGAATACTCCACACAGCCACCCTTCTACACTGAGTGCCTACTTCCCATCCCAAAACTAACGAAATGCCCTTGATGCCATATGATCTGGTCTGGAAAAAACAACTCCGAGAGCAATCCAAAAACCACACCAGGGCTCGCTTTCAAAACTCCGAGTTTACCACGGCAGTTCGCTGAGTGGGGAAGGGGAGAAGAAAGGAGGTTTCGGCGCTGTGCGGGTTAACTCTTTTAATGACTATTTACTCGAGCTTCCCCTGCCCTCGCTTTGCCCCGGCGCCCGCGGGTGAGCCGTGAGGGCGAGGACACCAACCCGCGCCGCGCCCCAGCCCGGCCCTTACTCACGGAGCGCGGCAGCTTCGCCGGCCCGGCCCCGAAGTTCGCCACCTGCCGCCCGCCCTCCATCTCGCTCGGGATGCTGCCGACGCTGATCCCGGCGGTGCCGCGGCCAGGCCGATATAAACCCCCCGCCGGGCTCCCGGCCGGACCCGCCCCTGTCCCGGCCACCCATTGGCAGCGCGGCCGCGGAGAGGCGGCGGGGCCGGGCGGGGCCGAGCGCAGCCCACGGGCGGGGAGGAGCGCAGCCCGCCGCCCGTGCCGCGGCCGCTGGGACGGGGGTGGATCTGCGTTTACCTACCTGCCTGGGGTTTGGGAAACCTTAGTGAGCCCCGGTGAGGTGCCAGCGCACACGCAGCCGTCGGTGGGCAGGCATGCGGGCAGGCATGGAGGCAGGCAGAGATACACACACACAGAGAAGTAAAATGAACGCATGTCCTACCGTGACTTGACTTGTGCGTTTCCCCACGCGGTTGCTCCTGCAGAGCTGGGACGCCTCTTCGCAAAGCAATCTGCATGAACGCGTGAGAAATTACGAACAGCGATCCACAGTGAGGCCCAGAGAGGCTGTAGAATCTCTCCTGGAGAAAAAAAAATGTCTGGATGCAGTCCCGTGCAACGTGCTGTAGAATGACCCTGCTCGAGCAGGGAGGTTGGACTAGATGACCCACTGTGGTCCCTTCCAAACTGACCATTCTGTGATTCATCTTTAAAGAGGTAGTTTTACACTACCCAAATGTTCTCATATTTTAGGTGAAATTCTTTCCTCAGAGAGGAGGAGGAGCCCTGCCTTCTCCAAGTCACAAAGCACCAGCATGTTGCACACTGTTTCCCTGAAAAGTTTGTTGTAGGCAAATTGCCATTTGAAGTCACAGGAAGAGAATAAAATCAAGAGAGCTGTGAAATTTAATTAACTTCACAGATAGCAGAGCCTGGACTTGCCTTGAGGTCTGCCAAATCCTAGGCTAATATTCCTGAATACTAAACCATTCTTTCCACACGTCTTAGTTCATTGAAAACATTGAGGTCGTACAGTTAAACTGTTGTAACTGAAGGGAACATTTTAGCTCACCAAATTCTTCTGATTGTTTTAAGGAGAGACGTTGCACCTAAGAGTTTCCAGAAGTTAAAGGCAGTAGCAGTAAATAAATTTTGACAAAACAAGCCATGAAGTATGACTGAAAACAGATGGGCATCACAAAGTCCCATAATCTTTAAGTATCTTGGACAAGAGTTACGGTATAAAGCACAGCTCCTGAACACCTTAGACTACCCCGTGTTACCTGTAACACTGGCCCTACTTTTGTCCCTTGCATGTTCACCAAGCTTATCAACATTGTCCGTAGACCAAATCTACATTTTTTTCAGAAATGAAAGTGTCAATGCCTGTTACTTTGCAAATACTGAGATTTATATAAAATATAATTTTTCATTCCTTTTGCTGTCAAGTCAGGTGATACCTACAACAGTAAAAAGAATTTATGGATCACAGCCTGATCTGCTATTTAGTTAACACACTGTAGAAGTTATTTTGTTTAAAAGACTAAAAACAGAGACACTGGTTTTAGAGCAAAGATAACCTTCATTTCACTAATGGCTATAGCTGAAGAAAAACCTACCAAACTTGCTTTCAGACACCAGAAACCTCCTCAGTTCTGAAGAGATAATTGCAAACTTCACAGACATTATAGGTGTGATACACTGTCTTCAAAACACCAAGGTATTTCTAAAGAATGTCTAAGACCATGACCTTCAGAATAACTACACTACTAATTATTGAAATTAGTTGTAATTAAATGGAAGCCTCTACTCAAATGCTAAGTAACAACATAGATAAGGCTACAATTTATTTTTACTAGCGTCTGAAATAAAACTGGCTCCAGAGATACAGGCTCCTCATACGGGCTTTTCCCAGTATTAAATCCAAACCACTTATTTCTGCAATGGCATCCTAGATAGGAAGTTGTAATGGAAGCAGTCAGAAATAGTGTAGATTAGTGATTCAGGTCAGAAAGTGTTCTGACATCTGAGTAGGATCAGTCTTGAATCCTAGCTGTGTGGCACAAACCATAAATTAAAACTTTGGAGTTAAAAACATAATTCAATCCTTTGACACAGAGCTAGAACACAAAAAATAGAAACTAGGAGAGCTGGTGCTAGTAACAGCTCAGAGCACTGAGAGTAAATACCAGGTACTGTAGTTTTCACTTCACGAAAGTACCATCCTGACCAGAAGGGTCAAAAATAGCAGCTCCTATGAGATCAGAGGACAACAGTGCTGAAAGCCTTGCCATGTAGAGCCTTAGAAAATCCACTTCACACTGTGCATTGATGGGAAGTATAGAAAATTGGTAAGAATGTATAAACCAGAAACTTTTGCTTTGGGCAAGGGATTATTACACTTCTGCAGTTGGAAAGAATGAAGAGAAACACTATAGGTCACATTAGAGTTTTGTTTCTGTGGAACTGAGATTTCTATTTTAATATTTTGCTACCAGCAATTATGATTTAATGTTTTTATTACATTAAAAACCATAAATTGATCATATCAATATTCAGAGTTACCCATTATGAAATATAGGCTTTCAAACCCATGACTTCCAGGAGTGCTTCTGGCTTCTACCACTTGACAGAGAATTTGACCCTTCCATTGCCACAAATCCCTGCAGATGAACATGAATTTGCATAATTAATAGAGAAACAGAGAGAGCTGTATTTATTACGCTGCACAACTGGAAAACCAAGACATTAAAAAAAAAAAACCTATAACAAAAAACCACAGAAAAAGTGTAAATAAAGTCTCAGAGTTTTCAGTGAACTTTTATTAGGCTCATCGTAACTTCATGTTATGCTGGACAGCAAACCTTGATTGACTACTGCTGGAAAAGGATCAGCTCACTCAAGGAGAGCAAGTGTACACGAGTTCTCTGTCTGGTACTATAGCTGACAAACTGACGTCATTACTAAAGACAAATAATATTGACTACATAGCAACCTGGCAACTGTTTCTGGAGGCAGCTGCAATGTCTGGTCCAGCAAACTAAGTGCAACAAGCAAATTTTGCTGAAACTTAAGATATAGGTAGTTCAAACAAGGATTTGAGGTTAATTTGTTTTCCAGAGATTGCAGTTCTGAACTGTGAAAAGTAGTTCTTCGGAAGCCTAAATGAAGAGAGAAAAAAATACCGAGTTTTATGAGTAAACAGTATTATGTTCTCTAGCAAATAGCTGGCCTATTGATTTCAGTATTTTATGTCAAACAAGAACACAAATATGTAAAACATTAACTAACAGCAAAAGGATGAAACAGTTTATATCAGAACTCATAATAATTTAACCAAAAATATTGTACTTTATATTAAAATATTGTTAAAAATGCATACAAGATAATTATTTATATGTATAAAATATTTTTTGTAAATATATTTTTAAATTGTAAGCAAAACCCTTGAAACTTCTGAAATATTCATGATAGCCTTAAAAAAATACTTCTCCTCTGGGCAACTTCAATCCAACTGATTCTCTACTGACTTCATATCCAACATTAAACTATATATAAAGCAGGCACTACAGATTTTTACTGTAAAGAGTGCTACACCACAGCACCAGTGATGAGGTGAAGAATCCTTCATGTTTCTGATTTAACAGAAAAAAAAAAAGGTTAAGTATTAAGCCACTGGAAAAAAATACGCCAATCTCAATTGCAAACTGCCTGATCAATTTTGTTTTAAAGTATTATTTTTGACATAATTCATACTGTCAAAGCAAATATAAAAAGTAAGTACTTAAAATAAAAGGTAGTTTATGCCACCTGGTTATAGGCCTTCAATACATAAGCTGTTTTAAGTTATTTTTGCTATTTTTAAGTACAAATAACAGATTCCTAATTGCTAACCTCACAAATCCAAACACTTTTGAATTTACAGTTCTACTCAGCATTTCTCAAGGATTAAATTAGCTTTTGAGTTTTAAATTTAAAAAAAGGGAACAAGTAGTATTTTAATGCTGAATATACAGATTGCATGTAATTGTTTAATCAAACCAAAATCACAAGCAACGGACGACTGAAGAATTAGACAAACAGTTGGGAAAGTATGTGAAAAATAATACAGATTAATGTATTACCTTCTATTATTCTGAAGTGACAAAGTCTGTACAAAGAACATACTTTCATTGTGCAATTACTTGTGCAATATCGCAATAGTTAAGGTAAACTTGTGCTATTTGCTCTGTAGAAAACTTCCACATGAGGATTCATGAGTTTTTTCATAATTATAAAGCAACTGGAGTCAGGAATTTCTACAGATCTTCTGTGTTCCAGAACTCACATGACAGATGACAAAATAAAAAAGAAAGTTACACAATGTTCCCCCCCCCCCCCAGTTCATCCTAAAGCATCCTCCCCAATTCCTCTATGTGAAAAATATCTTCTAGTTCAGAAGCTGCAAATCAGCTGCCTATGCACAAGGACTGAAATAAGAAGCTGGGGGGAAAATTCCAGGAGTTTTAAAATAATTATATTCTTTTAGTTTTATTTTCTCACATTTCTCTATGTCCTGAAAGGAAGCCAACTGAGTTGGACTAGACATTCTCCAAAGGTTAATTCCAGCGTGCGTTACTCTGTAATCTGCATCATACCAATAACTGGTATGATTGGTGTACAAGAAGATGGTTATATTTAAAGATTTCTTGTAGAGATGTTTTTGGGGTCATTTTTGAATCTGAAACTTCCACTACTTTTGGAACTCTCACACCCACACAATTAAGCAGGAACTGATGTTTGCCCCAAAACCATTTTTGCCCTACCCTTGGAATGCACTGGAAATAAACACTGGAAAAAAAACTGTACTCAAATTAAGTTTATTGGCTCAAAACAGTTTACACTCTACACCAAGATCGATGGAGATAATGAAATCCATATGCCAGAAGTCCTTTGGCTGTAGTAGGAAGTGACGGGTACCATTTTAAGTGCATCACGTTTCCAAAATTCAAAATCTCATGACAAGGAATGCAAACATAAAACAACATGCAATGCTTTAAAAAGTCACAAAGTCTTCATTACCTTACAAAAAATTCACAAACTATACTGAAACATCCAAACTCTACTATTAATATTCCAAGTGTAAAGAACAGTCTAAACATTTTAGAACCATTTCAAATGCTGGTAACACTTTGTATACTTTCTTGTATTTCAGAGCCAGATCCTAATGTATCACTTCCAGAGCTGTTTACTGCTTGTAGTGTACTGTGGTTTCCTCTCGCTCCAGTAGTTGGAGCTGCCGTTTCATTTGCTCCAGGGATGTATTTCTTAGAGGAAGAATTTTTGCTTTTTTCAACAGACATACCACTTGATACTCTGCTGTCATCACTTTTAATATGTACACTGGAATCAGCAAATGAGTGCAGACCTGTAGCCAACTGCCTTGCTGAGTGACCTTTTGCTTGTTCATTTTGTTTGACTCTCCTCTCAGAGAATACTGGTGTACTACTTCGAGGTTTATCCTCTTTATTTTGGTTAATTGTTTGAGCTTCATTTTCCTTCCATGAGCCTAGCTGGTACTGCTGTCCAGCAGTCTGAAGTTCTTGTATTTCTCTAAGTGCAGAAAAGGTATTATTCATGACCATCTGGGATTGAAACGTGCCAGGAAGAGACAGCTGGATGTCCCCTATTCTGTTCTGAAACAAGAGATTCCAATGAAGATATTGCAACTGCCATATATACACAGGGGTAGACACATACAGACATATTACAGTATCCTCTCTAGTTTTAAATCTATACTACAAAGATGTGTCAGTTACACTGAAGCAGCCAAAGCCTAATCATGTCCATCATTTCAACATACCTGCAATTCATTATGTTTGCTTGCAGTTCACAAAGGCATAGTCCCAAAAGTCTATCCCACAATAACTCGCCACTACAAGAATCTAAACTAATCACCAGTACTAGGAAATAAGAACAAGAGTCTTCAAACTGGAAAACTGGAAATTGCTTTCCACACTTGCAAATTTATTTTTGTTTAAACTCGAAATTTTTAACGTGTTTTAGAAGCTCATGGTGTTCTTGAAAAATGTGGAACAGTTAAAGGAACATGCTGGGATGCAGAGTGATTCTTAGATATGACAGTTTTATTCAACTTGGACAAGGCTATAGGCTGGCAGTATCTTCATTTTTAATAGCCTTAAAAACTTAAGCCTGGGCTTTTTTTGTTGTTCTTCTGGGTTTGGTTTTCTTTGTTTGTTTTGGGTTTTTTTTTGTTTGTTTTGTTACAGGAACTTGAGTATCTCCTTTGAAAAATCCATAGGATTTTCTACTAATTGACAGAGTAGAGACAAAAATCTTATGCACTATCTACAAATACTGAAAATTTGTAATTGCCTGAAATTCATGTCATTGCCACAGAGAAATCCATTAATCCTGGGCATATTACTTGGAAGACAATTTGTGATTTTCAGCAGGCACAGTACTAGCCTCTAAGACTAGGTTTTTAAAATCACTATATATCATTATTAAATGCTTCTAAAAAATCTAGTCATGGTACTTTTCATTTTTAATGAACATATACCACTATTGGAACTTCTTATTTCAGAGTCATAAACAACATTGTTACCACCAAAACTTTAATACACTACAAAATACTGTTTTATGTTCCAAATGGTAAACACTTTAAAAGCTTACATTAATCACTGAAATGTTACAAACTGTGTAAATGCAGTCACAGCAGAAGCTGCAGTAATACTTCATGAATCAGGGGGATAAGAGCCTGAAAGTACATTAAAAAGTATCAATTAAACTTGCCTCTAGCATTCTCTCTATAGACTTACTTTGCTGTTCTGGGTATGTTCCTGTCTTTCTTCTTCAAAAGACTTCTCCTTTACGAAGTTAGCAGCCTTACTGAGAGTAGAATTCATTTGCGGATGCCCCAAAAGGCCAAAATCTGACTGGTCTATCCCAGCTAATACAGCAAGTTGTCCAAGTCTGTAAAATAAAGTTCAATAGAAAACGATACAAACAATTCTTAGCCTTTGAAAGACCTAAACAATCAAAAACCAGAAAAAGAAGTAGAATCTGTTTAAAGCTTTGAAGATATTTTTCCACGATTTTATGAGAAGCCCAATATCTTAACCAAGATGAAAGCAAGTAGCTAGAGGTATTTTCTTATCTTTGCACAAATTAGCCTGCAGGTTCAAAACTCAAGTCTTATGAGTCTGAAAATTAAATTCTCCTAGTTAGCACTGCACCCAGAGCAGGATGATGACAGGCAGATTCCATGTCAGAAAGAACAAAGATCAAAACTCTGTCATTCAAGCAGAAGACTGGTGCACATCTCCAGTCTAGCATAATACCTAATGAAGCCACGGCGTGGTTCACAAATACAGTTATGTGTCACCTGCCAGTTTACAAGTTGGCCAAACCAATTACTTAAGTGTTTTAAGCCTCAATAAGAACTGAGAAGTTGCAGCCATCAATTGATAGCACAGCATACGATATACAGAAGCTTATGAGAAGAACACTCTTTGTGATTAGGATTCCGTAACTTTCAGAGCAGCTTCCTAGTATTACAAATAGACATAGAGCCTGTATGGAAAAAATATTTTTCATGTCATGAAAATGCATTTGTCCCTTCCTCAAAAGTTTTGAATTCATTCTTGAAGTAATGCCAACTCTGCAAATTGATTGTCACAAAATCAGAACACAGCCTTGGGGTGACTTTTACAGTAAATTAGAATCATAGAATCATGAAATCATTTAAGATTGAAAAACAGCTCTTAATAGCATCAAGTCCAGCCATTAATCTAACACTGCCAGGTCGACCACTAAATCAAGTTTTAGATGTTTAGTTTCTAGATGTTTTCTGAACACTTCCAGAGATGGGGATTCCACTAAGTCCCTGGGCAGTCTGTTCCAATGTCTGACCATCCTTTCAGTGAAGAAATTTTTCTTAATATCCAGTCTAAACCTGGGACAACTTGAGGCCATTGTTACTTGTTCTGAGTTACATCATTACAATCTGGAAGTACGAGGCAAATAATATCTTTTTTGATCTCTGAAAATGCAGAGTAGACTACAATATATATTCATGCACTCCTTCATTCTTGTGGATGGGACTGCCACGCCTGGCTACGTAAGCTTTACAAATCAGGTTTAAGCTGAAATTTCTTGATGAATGGGAAGGATGAACCACCCTATGAGAAACTGCAGGTACGGTGGTAAGACAAACTTTAATCAATACTCTTTAAAATAATTAACATAATAATAAATTACCCAGAATTTTAATACAGAGGCCATATTCATTCATCTAGATTTCCATACTTCAATTAGAAAATGGATAGCACGAGGAAATAGGACCCTTTCTGAAGCCAATTCAACTGCATTTTGAGCCTTTCATCTCATGGAAATGCTAAAAGCCACATGTGATTCAATAAAGATTTGGAAACATGTTGTATTAGAAGCTTTCTAGTCTTTTGGAATGGGCTTCTTAAAGGACTTTCCCAAGCACAAATACATGAAAAGTGCTTGGATCATGTTTTTCCCACTAGGAAAACACTAAACAGTAGGTACATGGCTAATTTATTTTCCTTTGCTCTTTGGAATTACAGTTCTATAAATGGGGGGGGGGGTAGAGGACAGCATACTTCATTGTGAAGATAATTTTGGAAAAAGATCTAAGGAGAAACAGCAAGACTTAAGTAAAGTGACAACCTACCCAGCATCTTTAAGGAGGTCTAAAAAAGCGTGGAACTTTTGGAAAGAGTTCTCAATGCTGCCTAGAACACCTTCATCTTCCAAAATTGTGCTGGTTACTGACTGTGCATGAAGAACCTCGGATAGGGAGATACTTAGATTCCTTAATCTTGCATTTTCAGCTTCCAGCTATGTGGAGTGTGGGGGGAAAAAAGAAATTTCTTTCATTTTCAGTTAAAAAAACCCCAAAATATCAAACCTCAACTTTGTGTGCCTAACGCAGCATCACAAACTAAAATACCCACAGTAACTGATGTAACAGATACAGAGTTCACAGTACCAGACATATTCAGGGCACTGTTACATTGAGCTCTGAGAAGATACATCCACACCTGTAATTCTATGTTGCCATAGTGATGTTGCTGCAGGCACTCAAAACTGCTGGCTCAGGACTGTCTTTAGTATGTACGGAATGTTACAGAGCAAGTATAAGCACAAAAAAATCAGCTTTCAACAAATTAGTGCATATATTATATGACACACTAACACCAAAGAATTTATTTTACTAGTAAAAGAACCATAATGAAGGCCAATGTTCTCCTTAGAGTCACCCCTCTGTATCAGAGGGAATGCATACTACTATTACCTCTCCCCTGCACTGTGCATCCCAAAACTGAAAGTTAAGGATGATTCAATTTTTCTCCACACTAAACATTAACCAAATTATGACAGACTAATTAAAGTTGAATGATAACTGCAGGATATACAAGGTTTTGTGTTTGAGGGAAGAATTAACTCACTCGTTTAAGATTACAGCTATGTAATCAAATGCTACCACAGGCTTTCCTTCTTTCATTTTTTATGAGGGCAAAAAAATTATACATTCTGTAGTACTCTGCAGATGTTAAATGAGCACCAAAATGAACAGTTTTAAAGATTACTGCTAGTTGGTTTATCCAGTCTCCTGAAGCAAGGCGCTACATCCAACCAGTATAGGATGACAGAGAAAAATTTCTTGCAGGGGGTGTTTAGCCTAAAAAGCATTTAAGTATTCAAACAACAGATACCCAGAAGCGCCCACTGGGGCAAATCACATTACAGGAGGATGGTGATGGTTGCACAAGATGTCTATAATGAACCTTGTGGATTGCAGTCTTTTGTGGATATCTGCTCCCTGTACTGTGGGGTACCATTTGGTGCTCAAAATTCAACAGGTATCATCACTTTCAGTCCCCTCCATTCACATCTAAGAACCAAATCCATTTGTTTACACTATCTTACACGCAACTCTATTAGAAGAAATTCTGCTTATTGGTGCAAAAGAATATTTTTAGGTCAGCAACAGCAGGTGGGGAGAGAAGACTTCACAATTTAAGTGTGATAAGTTGTTCAGTTCTGTTGAAACTAAGCTGCACTTCGCAACAACTGGCATGCAGACGACCATCCAACATGGTTATTGCCTGTGAAAACAAAGCCTAAAAATCAAAGGTACACAATAAGCCAAATTAAACAAAACAGTAACTGCAATAAAGAGCTTCTCAGCACAACTCATGATAAATGAGTTGGGAGACAAAGAACTATCCATGTGTGCAAACTGCAAACAGATTTAATCACTTTCTCAAGAAAAGTAAGTATCAGGATGCCCCAGACCATAAAACAGCAAATGAACAAAAGCCATTGAAAGAGTAGCTTGATCTGGAGTTCAAGGCTCTGGAACAGGATCAGGAGAACAAACACACATTACTAAACACAGATTTCATCATTGCCCTTAGACTAGTAAATGATCCATGTGACTTTGAACTGAAACTCTGGAAGCCAACACATTAGTGATCATAGATAATTACTCCTAATTAAGCACATGGATACTTTGATTAGAGCCTCCTTTAAAGATCATTAACAGTTAAGTATCTTACCTCTGCTACCCGTTCCTCAGCCTTCTCTCTAGCTCTTTGTTCTTCCTTTAGTTTTTCCATGCATTCTTCCAGCTCCAACTATCAAACACAGATAAACTATCAAGAAATTTATCTCAAAATGTCAGATTAACATGCAGTATACAAAAACTCAACACGTCCAATTAACAACCAGCACATGGCATTTCAAACATCAGCTAATCTTCTACAAAAATACATGACAGATATCTACCAGTACCTAACTCTACGATGCAAAAAATTTGGAAAGAAAAGTAGAAATTTGCTTAACAGATTTGTAATATTGCAACAGATAACATGAAATTTCAGCAGAAGTCTCTGGATTTTCAGCCTGTATTCTTTATCCAGGATTTTATTCCTTCTTACGGGAATAATAATACAAAATTCTGAACTCTAAGAACTGTACATTTCCAGTTGGTTTCACTTATTTCTTCTGTAGAAAAGTAAGATTTTCACAATCCTATGTGTAGTGTCAAATTAACGAGAACAGAGCCAAACATCTAACAAACATATTTCAGTCTTATTCATGAGACTAGAAAAACACGTGCATTTTAACTATTAGTTTTAAGTGGCAAATTTCAGTAACAGTAGTCAGGATTTGATAAGCAATACTACATTTTCTTGCAGTGATATGCCAGCAGAGCATTATCATCTTTAATTACAGCATCTGACATGGAAGAACAAACAGGATTTTTTGTTCTTGCACACCTTAACAGAGCTTTCTGGTTTGAGAGGTGAAAATTGTTAAAACTATCAAGCTAATCTATTTTTCAGAGGGTAGACTATATGAATTAACAGTATACAAAACTTAATTTCTCTACACACTTGATATATGGAAACCTTTATGTAAAATGACACAGCTTTTTGTACGCCCCTTATCAACCAGTTCTACAGAGGAGATCCAAATAGTACTGAAATCGTTTGTTTACTATCAGAAGTTTATTCAAGAGCATACTATTGTACTTCGTGTCAGCAATCATCTGAGAAGACTACAGCCTGCGTAGTACAACTAATCCTTCTGCAAATGCAAAGAGGTCCTCACAGGTCTTAAAAGATGCAAGGTACTTCTGCATCTAATTGAAAGATGCAGGTTTTAGAATAATCCACATACAGGCCTCACAGTGACAACCACTCCAAGTGATGGTTATGAGTCTGTCACTACTGCCCAATGAAGCCCACTCCTGTGATCCCCAGACTAGCATCAACCAAGCTAACCCTGGCTAGAAAGCTTTATCATCGGAACACAGGAGCATCACCTGTAGAAGTCAGAAGGTGTAAGAAAAACACATTTCAAGACAATATTTAACAGTACCTAACCCCCAGGTATAGAGTTGTGGGCAATTCTCTAAGAACCATCCAAAAATACCACAGTCTTAATGCAACCAACGTTAGAACATGTGGAAGAAATGTCTCTTTCAGACACGCAAGAACAATACAGAAAGTAGTGACCATAATATTCTAAATTCACAACTTGACATGTAACTTGGAATCCCATAACCTAGCACTGAAGACCAGTCATAGCTACCACAGGCCTGAAGAATGCTTACATTTCCATTTATAATGTGTGTACATTTGTATATATGTATGTATTTTAAAGTTTCTAAGATGTAGGGGGGTTTTGGCAAGGAACTCTTAGAAAACTTAGTTCTATAGTATTTTTGTTGTGGACAGATTTTAGATAATTTTAAAGGTGACAGCACTGATCTTTTTCTTCAAATTGCCGGTGTGTAATGTCAAAGGGCAATGGCTTAGAAAGTAGTTAAATTATAATTTAAAAAAAAAAAAAAGTGGAAGTTTTCTTGTTTTGTATAAACCTGATTTATCACACCGTAAATGTACACAATATTTGATCACAGAACATGCCAAATTGGAAGGGACCCACAAGGATCCTCTAGTCCAGCTCCTGGCCCTACACAGGAACATCCCCAAGAGTCACACCATGTGCCTGAGAGTATCATCCAAATGCTTCCTGAACTCTGTCAGGCTTGGTGCTGTGACCACTTCCCTGGGGAGCCCATTCCAGTACCCAACCACCCTCTGGGTGAAGAACCTATTTCTAATATCTGACCTAAACCTCTCTTGATGCCATTTCAGGCCATTCCCTCAGGACTAATGACCACAGAGAAGACATCAGGGCCTGCCCTTCCTCTTCTTCTCACAAGGAAGTTGTAGACTGCAATAAGGTCTCCCCTTAGTCTCCTCCTCTCCAAGAGTGACCTCAGCCACTCCTAATACAGCTTCCTCTCAAGGTCCTTTATCATCTTCACTGCCCTCCTTTGGACACTCTCTAAGAGCTTAATATCTTTCTTACATTGCAGTACCCAAAACTGCACACAATATTCAAGGTGAGGCCACCCCAGTGCAGAGCAGAGCAGGACAATCCCCTCCCTCGACCAGCTGGTGATGCTTTGCCTGATGCCCCCTAGGACACAGTTGGTCCTCCTGGCTGCCAGGGCACTGCTGACTCATATTTAACTTGCCATTGATCAGGACCCCCAGGTCCCTTTCCACTGTTTTCCAGCACCTCGTTCCCCAGTCCATAGGTACATCCAGGGTTGCCCTATCCCAGGTGCAAAATCTAGCACTTCCCCTTGCTGAACTTCATGTGATTGGTGATTGTCCAGTCCTCTAATTTGTCAAGGTCTCTTTGTCAAGGGCCCAAGATGGAGCTGAAATCCAAAAAGACTACATCGATTGGCTTCTCTTGATCAGCTAGGTGGGTTACATAAAAAGAAATCAGGTTGAATAAGCAGGACTTTCCTTTCATGAATCTGTGCTGGCTGTGACCAATGACTGTGATGTCTTTCAGGTGTTTCTCAATATTTCCCAGAGTAACTTTCCCCATAACTTTAGCAGGCACTGAAGTGAGACTGACAGAACTGTAGTTTCTGTCATCCTCCTACTTGCCCTTCTTGAAAACTGGGACAACATTTGCCAGCTGTGACCTCTCTGGATGGTTATGGGCTGACTTCAAAAACAAACTGAACACTGCAGCTGCATCTCCTCAGAAGCAGTATCAAAGTTAGAAGAAGATTCCTTACACCTGTGTTAACATATTTTCACCATTATATTACAAGTATATGTACACTTTATTGTTTCATTTGCTTTCAAGAAATTCACTAGTTGACACAATGCCTTAGTCTTTTTGAACAAAAAAAATTTATTAAAATACATCAGAGAAAGCTAAATGTACATCCAAGCTACAAGACTAAGCCTTCAAGAAGGATAGCCGAGAAAGACAACATTGACAGCCTTTAAGATGAAATTGCATACCAAAAATATATATAGTCCTCAGAATTACTGTATGCAGTATGACTATTGAACACTAGACAGAGGTATAAAACTGAAGTTTAAAAACTTTAAATATATTTTTAAAAATTTAGGAGCTAATTAGCCGTGTTTTTCTCCTTGATTACATTGCTGTCGTTATTTTAAAAAAAGTTATAATACAATCACTACTTCTTTGTAATGCACATGTCAAAAGAGATGCCCTGTTAACTAGACTAAGGGTGAAGTTCACCATTTAAATAATTAGTTAAAATTTAAAATTATGGGAGTTCCCTCGAGTACATTCTTCATCGGAACCCACTCTGACATTTGATTCCCTCTAGTGGAAGGTGAGCATCTATCAGTTCTTATTTTTCATTTAAGCAGAAATAAAGCCTTTCATTACCAAGACTTCTTTTTTTACAGAAGTAAGTACTACTTATTTCACTAAGTACCATGCTTAAAGTCCCTTTCTGAGCAGAGGGATGCAGAAAAATTCTCACAGACTTGCATACTAAAGTGAAAGTCTGGTCATTTAGTCACATCAATAAATGTTTGGAGTGCTTTCATGGCAAAGTGGCAGTTTAAGGAGTTCCCACCTCTTACTGTTTAATCCAGTTCTGCATTCCCATCACTGTTTTAGCACAGCTGTTGTCCCACTTTACTGAGGGGCCTGCTACAACCAAATACACTGCATTACGTTTCAGTTAGACAAGTTGCTCAAGACAACTCCTCCCTCAAGCTGCTGTGCATTAATGGCCAGTCTTCGCGAACGAAGAACCGGGGAAGGTCTTTCCACCTTCCAGCCTGCGCATTGGATTTTTTAGGTGAGACACAGTGTGCGTGGAACTGAGCCCACCCTTTAATCCTGAGGTTCATCTGCCGGGGCCAAGCGAGCTTGGACGGTGGCAGCGAGGTCCTCAGGACGTAGATGGATTGCCTTACAGGGCTAACGAGCTCCATCTGCCCAGGGAGCGGCCCCGACCGGGAATCGAACCCGGATCTCGGCGTTGACAGGGCTGCGGTTTAGCCACTGCACCACCAGGGACACTCACTGTGCATTAAAAGCTGTTTAATGAAGGTACCTACGCCAAACGAATACAGATAGAATCCTCCACCTCCTCTCTCGCCTTATGAACCACAGACTTCTGTCACTTACCATACTCTGGGGTTCTGAAACACCCCCAATCACATAAACCAATGTGAGTCGTTAAGATAGCTACCCTGGAAAAATATCACGGACTGGTTGAGGTTGGAAGGGATCTCTGGAAATCATCTGGTACAACCCTCTGCTCAAGCAGGGTCACTTACAAGATGCATGGGACCATGTCCAGGTGTTTTTTAATATCTCTTAAGGAGGGAGACCCATGCCAGTGCTCAGTTAATTTTACAGTGAAGTGAAAAAGTGTTTCCTGATGTTCAGAATGAAACTCCTGTGTTTCAGCTTCTGCCTATTGTGTAACTTCCTGTTGCTGGGTACCAGAGAAAAGAGATGGTCTCCATCATATTTGCACCCTCTTCTTTGGGTATTTATCCCTTCCCAAGCCTTCTCTCCTCCAGGCTGAACAGTCCCAGCTCTCTCAGCCTTTCCTCAGTGGAGAGGTGCTCCAGTCCCTTAACCATCCTTGTGGCTCTTTGTTGGACTCTCTCCAGTCTGCCCACATTTCTCTTGTACTGGAGAGCCCAGAGCTGGATACGGTATTCCAGGTGTGGCCTCACCAGCACAGAGGAAGGATCGCCTCCCTCAGCCTGATGATAACATTCCTCATAATAGAGTCCAGCATGCTATTCACCTCCTTTGCTGCAAAGGTACGCTGGTGGCTCACATTCAACTTTGGTGTCCACCAGGGCCCCAGGGCCTTTTTTGCAGCACTGTTTTCCAGATGGTTTGCCCTCAGCAGATAGGGGTGCTTGAGGTTGTTCTTCCCTGGTGCAGGACTTTACGCTGTTCATTGTTCAACTACATGAGTTTTCTCCCTACCAGCAAGCTGAATCAACTCAACTTATGTTTAGAAAAACATGAAAAAAGACACAAGAGAAAAAGACTGAAGCAAGAAATGAGAAAGCACTAAGAGACAGAGAGGAAATAGACATCCCAATTCAATGATGACAAGTTAATAGTTTGGTTCTGCCATAATGTGAAACCCGCTTTGTCTCAACATAGTAAAAAGGATGGGTGAGGCATAGAACACTGCAGACTGCTTAAGCAGTGCTATCTGATATGGAACTATGGCATAAAAAAGTATTTTGGTTTTTAAAATCAGAAAGTCAGGAAAATCTGGAGGTTTACAGGCACAGAAAATTTAAAACCAATTTTGGGGTACGTTGCTAAAATTGGTGGGTTTATATGCAAGGAAGCTCAAATTAATTACAAATTGTCCCTTCCTTATAGTTGTTCTACATGTAGTACTACAGGTAACACTGATCTCATAGGTGAGTATGACAACCCTTCCCCAAAGCACAAGAACTGTCTGCCTCTGCCCTGTGTCCTGAAGATAATATTCCTTGCTCCTCAAACACCAAGAACAGATACATGAAGTGTTGCCTGAAAGCACAGTACTTCCTACATAGAAGTTTTTAGAGCAATTTTCACAACATGGAATTCTATGATTCCAGACACAATGCTTTTGATAAGTGTTGAAGCCACCAACACAGCACAGTGTTGATATATTACACATGAATAGTAATGAACTCACCCCTAAAGAAAGTCCCTATACAACTTTAAGTCCCAGCAACATGTGAAAACCTTGAAACCTTCCTGAACCAAAGTTCTAGAGAGTAAAAAGGTAGGTCTAAAGAAAAAGTTTACATAGATTAAAAACAAACAAAACCTCAAAAATAAAACCCCACAAACCCACACCAACCAAAACCCAAAAACAAACAAAAAAACCCCACGACAAAACAAACAAACAAATCCCAAAAGAAGTCTGGTAAGTACTGTAGTATTTGTACAGTCCTTTTGCTTTCCACAACTCTAAGCCACCCTAAACTCAATTATAAAATGAAGCTCTAATACTCTTTCAGCTATTTTTGTAATTATTTTTACACAACAACCATTACCATATATATTTTAGCTCTTAGAAATAACATTAAATTACTTTTATAAAGGAAATACTTGGAAAAAAATACAGCAAGGAGTAACACTGATCAAAAGATTTGGAAACTATGGTTCAAGACCGGAACAGAGAAATTATGCATATTGCAGTTGTGTGTATTAAGTTCTTTCTTATTAAAGCACTGATTTGACCATATGCTTATAGCGTATGTATATATGTATATATGTATATATAATACTAAGAGATTGAACAGCCAGTGCATATTTGACATACATCTTTTGAAATGACACCCTGAGTGACATAATGCAGGATCACTAAGAGCTATTCTGAAATCCTGCTCCATGGCTAGTTATTTGCTTAACTACAGTTTTCTGAATAAAACATGGTTTAATTGATATAACTTGTCTTTCTAGAGTCTAGGGCACAGAACATGCTTCTTACCTCTAATTGTTGATACTCTGTTCCATTAACCTTATCGGTTGACTTTGCCAAATCAGGATAGTGGATGACATCATCTAAATCTTCTGTGTCTTCAGTATCAGATGTAGAAGCACTTTCTACCGTCACTTTCACAGGAACACCTGTCTAATTACACCAGAAAACCACACCCACTCAGAACATTACAATGTCCAGCAAAAATCAAAGATTAAATTGTACCAAAAACTTAATTTAAATACAGTTGTTTCTAGGGTTCCTTACAATGTATATACATTGTCCAGCTATATAATTTTGAAACAAATTTGCATAAAACAATATTAAAAAAAAAATCAATCCTTTGTGTGCATATGTTGGGTACATATGGTGAGGATTTGGCAGCAGGGCCTCTGTGAGGCACAGCCAGGGCTACCCCACCTCAGACACAGCTGGTCCCACCTCACCCAACACAGGGCAGAGCTGGGTCCAGCAGTGAAGCTGGTGCAGCATCAGGGTGAGATGATTTAACAAAGGGCAAAAAGCTCCACAGGAAGAAGAGGTGGGAACAAAGACAGTGAGAAAAAACAGAGGGAACAGCAGGCTAGTAGCAGGAAGAGGTGCTCTGTGGTGAAGCCAATACCCTCACTCCTGCCAGGCAAGACCCATGTCAGAGCAGATGGATGGATCAAAGGAACTGCATTGTACAGGGATCCTGTAGCAGTGAAGGTTTTCCCAAAGGACGGCAGTTCATGGGAAGCCTACAGCAGAGCAGTGTACAAGTGAGAAGCCATCACACCCTTCTGTGAGCCAGTTTAATTTATTAGTATACAAAAATGCACTTCTCCAGCTATTCTACAGTGGGCAAGGTGGGAGGAAGATGGAAATGAGATGCAAAGGAGATGGAATAAAGTGGGGATTTTTCTTCTCCTACTGGTATGTCTACTAGAGCAGTTCACAGACAGGTGCAAACACAAGTACGTAATCCAAGCCTAAGACAGAAAAGTTGGTGCAAAAGCCTTCAGAGAAAAATGCTGTTAGTCCTCCTTATTGCCTGTGGAGGGATTCTGCCCATACTCCAACCTAGCTTGCTCATAAGACTAGGAAACCAAAAGATACAGAGACAGAAATGAAAGCAAACCAAGTAACAAAGAAGTTTCAACCAAATGATGATGTAAACTATTTTTTTGCACTTTCATGAGAGATTATCTTTACAAGTATGTTCCAGTCTTAACTTTTAGTCAATAAATTCTGTTGAGAAAGAACACTTTCATCTTTCTTCAGGCATTCACCTACTAAAGAAACCACTGTGAGAGAAACAGTACCTGAATCTCCACTGGCAATTCTCCAGCACGATCCAGAGCTCCACCTCTACAGTTAGGAAAAAAAAAACCAACAAAACACTTCTGAGAAAAGTAAGTTTATAATGTCACCACTGCTACATTCATTCCCAAATACAGGATTCTAGGGCAGGTGAAGCACAAGAGTAAAAACAGCATCACACACTGCGCTGTATCCCTTTAAACCTCATTAGATCCTCACTTTGTTCTATTTGCACCCTCTATTTAATCATGATTTAGAGCAACATTACTGGATGCTAACATTATTATCTTCAGTAGGCATCTTGCTTAGTTAATTATTTTGAACTAAAGTCAACAGGAGAATTTGGTACTCGGCAATTTAAAAAATAAGTTTAATAACTACACTTATGATAGAGCATTAAGGAATTTTTTCTGTTTAAATAGTTATACAGTTTCCATTTTGCAAGGCCAAGGTCTAGGGTACAGATTTTTAAAAAACCCAAACAAAAGCTGTTTCAAAAGAGAGCTTCCATATGTAACTTTTTTTAGTTTTATTTTAAGTCACAGGACTTAGATGATCACAAAAATTATACTTGTATTGGGGGAAATGGAAGAGAAAGAAGAGGTGCAAAAAACTACCTAGGCATCAAATGCCAAATCAGCTACACTACAAGCTTACAACACTAACTTGCACCTTCAGCTATGGTAAATATGATAAATCAGATTAACAAAAGAACAAGCAGGCAAGGTAGGCTTGGTTTTGGTGGGTTTCTTGGAAACATCTGAATATTCCTATGGTCATCATTTATTTATGCATATTTTAAATACTTACTAGAACAGAATTTATGTAAAATCCTTAAAATTTATATAAACAGAAAAAATTATGGATGCAATATGAAATTATATGTGTAACTTTCAAATCATATTTTAAAAAGACTAACATTGTTCTCTACTATATTTATCATGCTGGTTTTATGCTTTATTATTTTTTTATTTTATGCTTTATTATTTATTATTTTATTATTTTCCCTTGAAAACCTCACCTGCATCTCTTTGCACGTTCTGCAGTCCGCCAAGGAAGGAAGCCTTCTGTGCCTGGTGGTTGTGGTTTTGGTGAGTAACTCTCTTTCACAGATGTACTTTTCTTCCCAGGACTTACCGATTTTTTAGACAATAGTCCTGTATTGAACAGTAAGATTAGAAGAGAATACATTATACCTAATTATTTGCATACAAATTGACAGCATTCCTGTTCCTAAGTAAAACCTCCTGTGTAATAATAGGGGCTATTAATATAATAAGTATTATTAATAATAAGTAGGAAATCCGCCATTCAGTCTAACTTTGAAAAGTGTACAAAAATCTGCCATTTTAAGCCGGTATACTTAACTGCTATGTTAGGTTGATGTAACTAAGGCAAGCTGTTATTCAAAAAGGAAGTAAAATTTTGTAGCTGAAGAGGTTTATGAACATCACTAATTTCAGATATCTACTTCCACTGGTTTACATGGGAGGGTTTTTTTTTTTTTTATGGGAGACAATCTATGTAGAGAACAAAGCTATATATGTGCTTCAAACTGCCCTCTAGTGGCTTTAGTGTGAAGAACGGTGATTTATTTAAAAATAAAGCTGGTACTCGTGGATTGCTTGTCCTTAACACTGGCAGTCTCTTCACTTAAGAGAACTAGTAACGAAAAAAGTCACGTTCAATAGTCCAGTCTTTTGTTTTTGTTTAAATCGTATATTATTGAAGTAGATTCAGAAAAGAAACCTAATGTGGATGAACACTCTAACTCAGGTTCCTGTAAGTCAGAAACTAGCAAGCCCAGAAAACTTAATTTGTTCACCTAGTATTTCATACAGTTATACTAGCAAGAATAATGGTTATTACTTCTCTGAGATCAATAAAACAATTGATTTTGTAATGGTATGGATATGTGTAATTATGGTAATAGGATTCAAAATGTCAATTCCATCTCAAAATAGTAAACAAGAGTTTTCACCTCCTGATTCCCTCCCTCTCTTAAAAAAAACCCAAAACACGCCAAAAACTACCACACAACAGAAAAAAAGAAAATAGAAAGGAAAAAAAAAAAAACAAAACAAAACACAAACTCACACCAAGAACTCCCCCCCACACCACCACAACTATAAATGTCAAGCATTTTCTTCTTCCACCACCCTGATCACCAAAGTTTATTTGTACAAGGACTTCAATTTGATTTATGCTTACCTCTCTGTTTCCAGATAACTAGAGCAAAGACGAAAGACAGTCAAATGTATTACATTGAAATTTTTAGTAGCTTACTGAAAAATAGTTTATTGCAGCTATTAGTACTAAATTATAAATATTCAAGATATCTATCTTACTTTAAACATAATATTTATAATAGGTTTACATGAAGTTTAAAAAAAATTTTAGAACACTATGTACATCAGTAAAAAATGCATGTTTGTTTGCTCTGGCAGAGGACAGCTCGCTACAGAAAGATTACAACAGCAGAAGAACTAGGCAACTTACTACCGCCAAGCTTCACAGAAGTGAAAGCTTGTGGAGAGGATGCACTCAGAGTAAATATGTGCAATTCTTCCACATATTCAAGTCAGCATGTCCTACCATTTTGCCAGCCACTGTCTAGTGGCAGTAAAAACAAAAGCAAGTTTCCTACAGATACCAGTGATGATAGAAGATGCACTACTGAATTAATAAATGGAATTTTTTTGGAGACAAGTGTTCTGTAAAACACTAACGTCATATATGTTACAATTAAAGCTCTTAAGCATTAATTTTATAGACAAAATTTACTATAGTCAGAGAAAATAAAGGTAGTATTACCAATACGAATAGTAGCTTTTCCTTTTCGACCACTTCCTAGAACAATAGTCCTTTTCTTTGGTCTATTTTTCAAAGCATCCTTGGAGGACGGAGATGTCAGCCACTTATACTGGAATTTTTTTTTAAAGAAAGATAAATCAGTTTACTAACTGATAGCTAAAGAGGTATTTATTTAAAATAGGAGGGGGTTTTGTCAGATATAGAGAACACTGGTACTTACAGAAAACTTTAATAAATTGTAAAATCAGGAAAACAAAACTGAAGTCCCACAAAGCCCAAATTCAATCACAAATTTGATGCACGTCTGACTGCTACATTATCAGAAAGTGTTCCCAAAACTATAATATCCCATCTGATATTCTCCTATCTCCTCCACAAAACACTTCTCTTTTTAAAGCAAAAACCCCACAGCATCAACCCTGTAAAGAGACAAATCTGGCTTCTGCATTTCATTCTCAGAAAACTGACTTGACAGGAATGGCTGGCTCAAGCCAAAGTTCTCCAGAGTAATAAAAGGTTCCCTAACACAATTTTGCATTACTAATAATATCAGTATTTCAAAAAATACGAAATTGTATTTTCACTGCCTTGTAAAGAAAATTCATCCTTACAAAGTAAAAGCCCCAAACTAAAATTAAGACACAGTGATGATCAAAGACCACAGCTGTACTACAAACTTCATAAAGCAACAGCTCTATTCTTAAAGCTTCCCTTTGTCCTGATAAAAAGTTTCATTACTCCTGGTGGATATTCTTAAGTTACACCGCATTTTTCAATGTGCATCACTAATACAGGTTCCAGTGCTAAGCAGCTATTGAAGGAAATACAGATGACATTAATGCAAAGTTTTTCTCAGCTTTAACCACCACATCAGAGTAGGAGGAATTGTATGCCAAAGTTATTCCCATCTAAGGCACAGGAAAGATTAAAATGCCATTACTGTGCTCTAACCAACCAAATTTAGTTCAAATTTATCATTGGTGAGAAGAACTTTTTTTTCACTTGGGACTCAAATAATTATGTAAGTTCTGTGGGGTCTATGGCTGGATCTAGCTCCTCAAGACAATTTTTCTTTTTAAACTAAAAAACAGACAGAAAGAATAAAATGAAATTGTAAACATCTAAAAGCATCTTAATTTTGTTTTCAAGACACATAAAAGGGCAGTTTTATTAGGTTAACACTAAAGTTCATCTAGACTAGTAACCTGTCTCTCGTCCAAGCGCCTGCTGCTTTTGTTGCATGCAAGTATAAAGACAGTAAAATATTAAGGCTGTGTTTTGAAAGCAGCTTGTTTTATAGACACCCTGCAGTGGGTTGACCCTGGCTGGACACTGGGTACCCACTAAAGCCACTCTCTCACTCCCATGTGCAACTGGACAGAGGAGAGAAAATATAACGAAGGATTCCTGAGTTGAGATAAGGACCAGGAGAGATCACTCACTGACCGCTGTCACAGGCAAAACACTTGAAGTGGGGATATTAATTAAATTTATTACTACCAGAATCAGAGGAGGTGAATGAGAACCCTCCTCCTGCAGTGGAGGGAGATGGGGAATGGCAGTTATGGTCAGTTCATACAGGTTGTTTTCTGCCACTGTTCAGAGAGAGGAGTCCTTCCACTGCTTCCTGTGGGGTCCCTCCCACGGGAGACAGTCCTGCATGAACTTCTCCAGCCTGAGTCCGTCCGACAGGCAACAGTTCTTCGCAAACTGCTGCAATGTTATTTTTCCGTAGGGTTCAGTCCTTCAGGCACAGCCCGCTCCAGTGTGGGTCCCCCCCAGGGCCACCCACTAGTCCTATCAGGAAAACCTGCTCCAGCGTGGGCTCCTCTCCCCATGGGCCAGCAGGTCCCTGCCAGGACCTTCCAATATAGGCCCCCCCCAGGGTCACAGCCTCCTTCAGGCATCCACCCACTCTGGTGTGGGTCTCCTCCACTCGCTGCAGGTGGATCCCTGCATCCCTGTTCTTCACATCCATGGGCTGCAGAGGCACAGCTGCTTCACCATGGGCTGCACCACTGGCTGCAAAGGAAGGTCAGCTCCGCTGCCTGGAGCATCTCCTCCCATTCCTTCTTCACTGTGACCTTGGTGTTTGCAGAGTTTTTCCTATGTTCTCACTCCACTCTTCTCTGGATGAAATTTTCATCTGCCACACAACTTTTTATCTCCTTCCTAAATATGTTATAACTGCTGATTGCTAAATATGTCACTGCTGATTGGCTTGGCCTTGGCCAGCAGTAGGTCCATCATGGAGCCAACTGGCATTGGCTCTACCAGACATGGGGGAAGCTTGTAGCAGCTTCTCACAGAAGCCACCCCTGTAGTGTCCCCACTACCAAAACCTGGCCACTCAAACCTGATACACACCTTCAGTGGCTTTTTCCTTTAACCTATTCAGTCTCTCAGAAACTCCACAAACTTTCACCACCTATTACACTCAATCATATCCACAATTACAACCTTTACAGCTACACAGTGCTGCTAAAATAACACAATTTTTTTTGTTTTAGCTGCCCACCAAATTTAAAGGCATAAATTAGCAGCAGAGAACTAACTCTTTTTGCAAACCTGAAAATCCAACCCAAAAGGCAATCACCTACAAGCTATTAAAAACCAAAGAGAAACAACCAGTTTTTATGCAAAACAGGGAGGAAGGACTGCTGGGACTGGTGGAATAATAAGCTACTTATCAAGTACTGACTGCTGGTCAGTACTTCTTCATTCATGTAGTTAATGAAGTATGAAGAATTGCCAGTAAAACTCCAGATACTGCATTAAGTGCCAAAATATAAAACTAATGTCTGGAGTCAAGTTATCTCTTAGTATAAAGGAGATTCCCCAAAGTTGCTTCTTTCCATGGTTCAACTTCCAAATATCTTCAGCATTTCCAGGCAGATACTATTTTCATGTGATACCTGCAACCTTTTGCAAGTATTGATTGCATCTGCCCAGGAGACAGAGCTTCACAACAAAGGTCAATTTCTCAAGAAAAGTCTTCTACAGATTGAAGTGGGGAACTGTACTAATTCTCAAGGAATTCTACACAGATCCACAGCCCTGACTTTTAAGTCTTTTCAAGCCCGAAAGAGTAATAAGTTCCAGAACAAGAACTGGGATTGCTGCAGTTCTGTGAAAGAATGAGAGTACACTCATTTCTTTCCTGTCTCCTTTGGGAGCTGAATCAGGTTTCTTTGTATTTGAACAGTGTATCTAATAATAAATACTCCAGATATTCAGTTTATGCACATTACTGTGAACTCTCTGTGGACTATTAGATAAAGATCAAAGGGAGTACTGTACTTTAACTGAACTCTGTTTTCTTAGAGGATTTGCATTGAAAAGGACAGTCTTGAGTAACTTAAAAAAAAATTTACATAAATTAGTGACGAGGTTTCACAGTAAATTAAGTTTTGAATTTTAAACTGCAGTTTCCTTTACTTTTAATGAAAATTTATTATTACCATGTTATTAAGGACAGATGTGGTAGAAAGCCCTCCAGCAGCACTATTTATTTATCGTTCTACATTAATGCCCACATACACACATATTTCCATTTTTCTTTTCATTAAATGTATATCCTGGATTTTTTACATGTTACACCTTAAATTCCATAAGAAACCATATAAAAAGCCCAATACAATATCATGTTGCTGACAGTGTTTTTAGGTTTTCCCCAACAAAGTGGGGTTTGTTGGTTTTTAAACTGCCTAAAAATCAAACTTCCGTTTATAACTATAATAGCTGTTTTAGATTCATTTTGAACAAAGTTGTTCCTTAAAAAAAAAAAATGCAATGGCAGCTGCAAAGAAAACCCAAAACTAATTGCAAAATCTGTAAAACATACCTCTGAATTAGAACCAGTTCCATTCTTAAGAACTCTTTCAATAATGTTTTTCATCAGAACCTGACCTAGGATGAATTAAAATACATTACTAAGAATTCTTTGTATGAGATAACTCTTTATGTAAACAAAGAGATCATTGAATAAGCAGTACACCCTTCTTGTTTCCCTCATTTTAAAAATGTTTAGCAAATTAATGTGGCATTTGTGGGTTTTTTTAAATGTAGTTACTGAAGAAGAAAAAAACCCACCACCACACAAAGAAGACAAAGGCAGACATAGATACATACCTATTAATGGATTTTTTCTTATGTCAAGTACCTCTAATGTTGTATTAGTTTGAAGAGCATCTAATAATGATCTTGCTCCCTCATTGGATATTCCACACTGCTGCAAATCAAGTGCTGAAATGTTTAAGGAGGTTAAAAAAAAATAAAATTCATTGCAGTAATGACATTTAGTTAGTAATTTAATATAATAGTATCTAAAAAAAAGATACACCTGCTGAAAACCTCCATTTCATAGAACATGAAGTGTAAGATACAAAGACATGATAACAGCCAGAAGTATTACTTTAAAAGAAGAAAACTAAAAATTTAAATTGGTATTACAGATCAACTTAAATAACTGATAACAACTGCAAAGGAAGTAATATAAACCACTCTACAACCACTGCAGGCAACCTGTGCCAGTGTTAGAAACCCTCACAGTGAGAAAGTTTCCTGACATTCAGGAGAAACCTCCTGTGTTTTAATCTGTAGCCACTTCCTCTTGCCTTGTCACCAGGTACCACCAGAAAGAGTTTGTCTCCAACTCTACAGCCTCCCTTCAGATATGTGTGCACCTTGTAAGATCCAGCTCTGAGCCATCTCTTCTCCAAGCCAAACAGTTCCAGCTTCTTCAGCCTGTTTTTCAATGAGAGTTGCTCTAGTCCCTTCATCATCTTAGTGGCCCTTCACTGGACTCTCCCCATTAGCTCCAGTTCTCTCCTGTATTGGGGAATCCACGTGTGGCCTCACTTTTGTTAACAAGAAGAATCACCTCCTTCAACCTGCTCACAAGTCTTTCCCTATTTCACTCTGGGATACCATTGGCCCTCTTTGCCACAAAGGCACTTTGCTGGCTCATGGACAGCCTGTTGTCCACCAGGACCTGCAGGATCCTTTCTACAAAGCTGCTTTCCATCCATACAGACCCCAGCATGTTCTGGTGCACGGGATTATTCCAGCCTAGTTGCAGGACATTGTGCTTCTTTTTCTTAAACTCTGTAAGGTTCCCATCAGCTCCTTTTTCCACCTGCTGAGGTCCCTCTAGGTGGCATCGCAACCTTGCCTTCCCAGGGATCCAAGTAAGGCTGACTGGCCTTCAGTTTCCTGGGTCCTTCTTCCCAGACTTCTCAAAGACAAGGGTGACATTAGCTATCCTCCAGTGCTCATGCACCTCTCCTCCCAGTCACCGTGCTCTTCCAAGGATTATTGAGAGCGGCCTCAAAATGACATCAGCCAGCTCCCTCAGCACTTGTGGATGCATCCCATTAGGGCCTATGGACAACTGTTTGTCCAGTTTGTTTAAGTATTCTCTGCGCTGATCCTCTTCCATCAGTACGTGTGTTATCTGTAGACCTGCCTCAAACTATAAAACAATTTCAACAGGTATCTGATTCCATGTACCTTTAGTATTTGGATACTTTGGCAATTCAAAAGAGGAAGAAAAATGTCTTTTGAAAAAAAGAGTATTCTTCCCCAGATGCATAGCGAGTAGCTCTTCTGGCTGCAATTGTTATAACCGACAATTTTAAGTTTTCTGCCTGCCACTACCATATCTTAAGAGTCTATTTTGCAATACCTTTCAGCCAAAGGTCCTCTCCTAGACAGTCTGCAAAGGCACTTGCTCCTCTATCTCCAACAAGCATGTTGCAGTTCAAAGTAACCCGTCTCAAGCCTGTCATATATTCAAGGTCAGGTCGCCTGTAACGAAGGCTTTCAGCCCAAGCTTCACCGTGTCTTCTCATTGCCTGGTGCTTTGCAAACAAAGAAGCTGTTACCAAATGCAAAGCCAAGACCATTATTGATGACAAGATCACAAGTTATCATTCTTTGTAATTCATGCTCAATAGCTTGAGCGCCAATATAAAGAAACTCAGTTATACCATTTTGTAGTTCAAGAAATGCAAGTAATTTTTTAACCTTGCAGTTAACTCATGTTTGTTCAGATTACCCAGTTTGCAATGCAAATCATTAAACTTCGCAACAAAATATCTTTTTACCTTCTTTTGGCAGAGAGATGCTTTCAACACACATTGAACAGGAAATACATACATACTACAAAATTCTGTCCTTTCACAGAAACCACTGTTAACATTAATCAGAATACTGCACTAGTCACATGTTTACTATCAGTTAATCAGTAGCTTCTAAACTGTAAAATCAATTATTCTTACTCAGTGCTTAAGAATACTTGGGATATTTAAATCCCACAATACTAAACCAAACTACTTTTGACATATAAAGTCACAGCTTTCAGAAGGACTATACACTTCAGTATTCACATATGCTCCTCAGAAAGTGCTTTAATGGATCTAGAACTTGAAAGAGAAAAAAATCAAATATATTAAGTTCTTGTGAACATTTTGTTCTAACAAAGTTATTAAATTACCTTTAACACATTTGCCATATGTTCAGCCCCTCGCCACGTGAGGCTACATGCTGTGAAGTTTACAGATCTGATAGTAGCTGTATTCTTTATACTCTGACAGATTGCTGAAGAAAACAAAAGAATGCATGTTATCTACACACATGACTTCCAGATTATCAGAACACACTTTTTCACTATTAAGAGACTAAATCAGCTTTAACAGGCAAAAGCTTTGACAAAGAAATAGTGTTACATAAAAAGTATATTTTAAATACATTTTAAGTCTTCTAGGTTTATTTATTTCTACTGCAAATGTTTAGCAAAGACTATCTGAACAACCTAGAACATATTTTATTTCAGTTTACTTATGGAAACTCAGGAAAGAGTTAAATATGAATACTGTTTTAAATGCAAGTATAAACATCATTATAAAGTAGTACGGTTAGTTACTAGCATCAAGGGAAGAAAATCAAGTCTTTAAAAGTTGTTGAACCATGCAGAATAAAGTGAGGATTGTTATTTTAATCACCATAGACAAATTTAAAACAGGAATGGAAATACTGAAAAACTTGCTTACCTATCTACAAAAAAAAAAAAAAATTTTTTTACACATTTTTGATTCCGAACTTACTTTCCAACCCTACGTCTCCAATTGGACAGTGGGCTAAAGAGACACTCTCCAGAGATGAAGCTGTGGCCAAGCCCTTAAGAATAAAACAATATTGTCAACTGGCTTGAAAGGCAAAACAAGAGAAAAGATCAAGTCACCCAAACAGCTCAAACTCTGTGCTCCCTCCAAGGAACTCGAGGAGTTCAGAGGAAGGTCAGTTCAGTTCAAGTTCAGTTAAAGCTGGTTCATTTCTTTAGCACAGGAGAAACCTCTTTTTCTAAAAGCCACTCACTAGCACATTGGAGTGTTCCAATAATACATCTTGAAGACCAGTTTTTACCTCCTTGGTGTCCCACAACTTTCTTGTTGTACATGCACATGCACAGTAATTTCAGTCAAATGCATACATTATATGCCTCAAACACATGCCAGAGATGTTGCTAAGATCTTTCTAAGATCTTACTAAGGCTTGATGAATGTGATTTTGAGACATTTGGAAAGACTAGGTTATAGTAAATATGCAAAACACAAACATAACAGAGGAGAACCATCCTTGTCTGTCACGAATACTTACAAAATTTAATTGCTAGTATCCTTCATTCTGGGCATATTTTCCATTTATTTGTATACTAATATATTCTCACCTTTGTTAAAAGTGTTAGATCTCTTTCCCTCAGAAGCAAACCCTGCAGTTCTAAATTTTTTAGTACATCTGATATACAGAGACAGCCTTTCACAGCTTTGCATAGTTGGCCAGTTAAGTCTTTTGATAGGGTTGCTGGAGTTCTTCTGTAGTAAGTTTTATATCTTTCAACACCTAATAAACAACAGAAATTACATATCAGTAAAATCCAGTCCCTATAGGCTTAAAAGCCATCACAATCACACCTTGCTTTTCTTTGCATATTTTCTTAAAAAGAAAAAACTCCTTAGGCAATACAATTCCTCCCCCATGTATTCAATCATATTAAAGTTTTATGCAACAAATTGCAGCAGGCATATATCAAAATATTTAATTTTTATAGCCATGACTATGGACCTGATTCTTCAAGACCATGTTGATGCAAACTTCTTATTCCAATAGAAGTCAGCGTCTTATTATGCCTGATAGCATTCAGAAGTGGTGCCCAGTCAGTGGCTTTGATGTGATCTACAATTAGATCAATAGCATTCTGAGTCAGGTTAGCCTTCACAGCTTTCAGTGGGACAGAGCCTTGAAGTTCACAAAGATGTTCATAATGTGAGTAGAAATCCAGCATGCACTGCCTTCTTAATTTGACTGACTCAATCATTTCTTTTATGTGATAAATTTCTCTGTAAAATAAAAAAGGGTAAAAAAATATAAAATTTTTCAATATATAACTGATTTTGCAACAGTCTCAATTCAATATGCATACCCAAAACATGGAAATGTTCCTATATATTGTATAGCATTTACACATCCTTAATGTGGCAGCTAAAAACTGACGTCTTGTGATGCTCACTACTTGTGTAAGTACAGTTGAATTAATAAGTGGCTGAAAAAAAACCCCAAACAAAAAAACCTGCATTTTTATTCTCCCCACACAAATAGGTATATCCAGAACACAAAAGGTCTGATCTTCAAGCACTAACTGTTGTAAAGATTTTGTTTTCCTCTTAAAATTTAATTTTGTAGTGTCAGGGTCTGCAGACTCCAAAAAGCCTTGGATAATCCCTGGCGCACCATAGAGGGAAACATAACAGAGCTAGTTGGGAAACAGAACTCTGCTACTTTAGCCAAAAGTCTAAATTCCCCTCAGAATACAGAATAAAAATGTGCTTTCCTAAATATTTTTGCCATTGCTATTGTATATGTATCCCAGTAAATTTCAGAAAGCACTTTGAAGGCATAAGTTTTTGTTATATATTAGTACCCATGTAGCAAAACAGTACTAACTTCTAAGTAGAATCTCTAAATGCTGCTATTAAGTGTTAAGTAATTCCACTGTTTCAGCAGGAATATTTGTCAGTATATAGAGAAGATACTTTTATTTAAGATCAAAATAGTATTAAGCATTCCACATAGGATATCAAACATTTTTCATACTGCAAACATTTTTCCTAGAAAGCTTCAAGCAGTCTTCTGAAAAATTCTGTATGTCAAATTAGGACAAGAATTACGGGACAGGTACAAGCATGTAAGGACAGCCATTTCTAAGAATATAATTTAGAAAAAAATTATCATATTTTTAGTATTGAAATGACTGAAAATGTCGTAAGATACAAACTCTAATACATAATAATTATATATAATACAGATAATATTACTATATTATACAGTTACTGTATTATACAGTTCCTCCACATCCTTTATTTCATTTTAGCTATGATTTACTAGTATTTAATGATTACACTTGGCCACAGGAACAGAAGTTAATAAATTACAGTCCCACATTTCAGCTTCAGAAAGCGGCCATCAGCTTTAAGGCACCAATGGCTTCTAGTGATGTATCGATACACAAAATATTAGCCTTTTATCTCCAAAGCTTAAGCAATATTCTTTCACGGTGGCTTTCATTGCAACACCTGAACACCACACCCCTAAGTGAAGTAAAGAAATGAGAGCTAGGTCCTAGAACTTGGAGTTAAACCCACTTGCAGGCAGAGAGAAAAACGGCCAAACTAATCATACCCACAATACCTTCCAAATGAAAAGCAGCTATGTAAGCCAGAACTCTTCTGCAGTGAAGTCAGTGCATCTGACACAACCTTAGAGTATGCTGACCGGCTCTGACAGCATACAGAGATGACAATTATTTACTGTATCTTTCAATACAGATGCCAGAAGACATCAGATGATACTAGCTGGTGACAAATAAAAAGAAACAAAAATAAAACTGAAAAATCCAGTTCCATGCTAAGAATCTCGAGGAGACTATGACTATGTAGCGATTAAAATAATGAGCTGAGCGAATGTATAGAGGGGCAAGCAAACGGCACACCAGGTCTTCGCTGCCTGCAGGAGCCATGGCCGCGTCCCACATCCCGAACTGCAGGACACAGGCGGGAAGCTTAACTGGGGGCTGACCTTGTGCTTACTCGCCTTGCTAACCATGGCCTGGAGGTCTGTGGGACGGCGCTTACTGTGCTTGACCTGCTGCCCCACTGCGACTAAGTACGTAATGAAGCACCCAGCTAACACAAACAGACAACCGTGGTTTTAACTGGCATAAACGAGGTGCTTTTTAGCGTTTCACCCATTTAATATCGACACCCCTTCTGAGAACTCCTTCAGACCGTACACCGCTGAACCGGCAACAACCGGGGGCTGTGCTGTCCGCCGCCACCCCCAGGGGAACGCGAGAGGCGGCCGGCGACAGCGGCGGCCGGTCGCTCCCGGACCCGAACCCCGCGTCCCCCGCCCCGACGGTCCTGCCTTCCCGGAACCGACTTCAGCCACCTCCGCGCTCTCCGCGCTCGCTTCTCGCTGCCCCCGCCCCGCCCCCCCCGCCGCCGTTACCGCCCCGTCACGGCCTCCGCCCGCGCCGCTACCGCTACCGCGCCCGCGCGCTCGCCCCGCGCTCCAACCGCCGCCGCGCGCCGCCACGTGGCACGAGAGGCCGGCACTCCATTGGCCACCGGCCTCCCGCCCGCCCGCGCGCCCGCAACATGGCCGCGGTCGGCCATGGCAACGGGGCCAGTTGGGGGGAAAGGTTAGGGCTGAACCCGAACCACGCTGTCCTGAAAAAAAAAAAAAAAAAAAAAAAAAAAAAGCTCTAAGTGCAGTGCTGGAATAAAGCAGACAGGCTGTCCTTCCATGTGTTTTATACACGCTGCTTAGCTTTACTGTGAGCAAGGCGTGTGAGTAAGGAGCTGTGTCAGTAGGGAAGCAGCTGTGCTGATGGACAGCAGTAGCCGCGCTCAGCTGGCCTGAGCAGTCCGACAGGGTGAACAAATTCCGCTTTCGCAGTTGTGTTTCTCATTAGTTTCCGAAGTTAGTTTATATACATGAGACTTTACATCAAAGAATCATTAACATTCAGTGCAGTGCATTACACAGTGCAACATTTAAGGCAAAATAACTCAAAATGGAGTCCAAGTGCTGATCCTAGAATTTGCAGTTCATTCATGTGTAGGGACACCAGCTAATAAAAAGAAAAGAAAAAAACCCACAACTATTACTGTAGATTGGTGACTAAAAGCAACTTGATTATTCAAAAAAATTATGCCTCTAGTCTGCTTGTAGGCAGCAGGATTTAAACTCCAAAGTTGAGCAAACTTCAGAGAGTTTTTCAGAGAAATTAGATGGATCCCTAGAACATTGTAAGGACACTGTGTTTACGCAGATGAAATGTTACACACTGTCTTTGACTGACATCAGAAGCAACTGAAGCACCTTAAGTGCTATCAAGTGTACTGGAACAAGACTTATTTCATAAGTCTGAGATCACCATCCATGCAAAATACTTCACTGTGATATTTTGTGAATTGAACGTAAGAGACAAGAGACACGGGGTCACAATCAGGCAAATGGCAAAAACAGTGGTTTTGTGACAGTATTAAAAGATATTTCTGGTGCTTGTCCTGCCTCTCAGTGCTGCAGACTAAACTCAAGCAAAATAAAATTCATATATTCTCAAGAAGCTTTACTTCTAAAGGTTTGGCTGTTCAGGCTAATTAATTAAAAAGACATCTCCAAAACTGAAGTTGATAATATTGCAAAGAAACTGCTCCAAGTTGCTCCCTACCACACTTGGTTTTCTTTGAAAAATAATGCCAAGTGTTCTTTTCCTTGGCATTTAATTCAGTGGCTTTGCTTTGCATTCTATTTACTTCTCTAAAGTGTTTTCCTTTTTCTTTTATTTTTTAATTGAATTTTGGTGCACATGACACAGATTTGCCAAAACGGTTGGGTACAGAGGACACATCGAAACTGCTCTGCATATATGAATCATTGTATATGCTCTATAAGCAGCCTGCATGTAGTAACTGTAATGATGTCTCATCCTGCATCCCAGAATCTGTCATTTGTAGACATTTCACAGCCTACATATTTGCTGCAGAACACACCCAGTGCTGGTAGCTCGGTGTGCAAACTCCAGGTTGTGCCCTGGGTGGTGGAAAAAGGCTGGATCCTTGGGCAATGAGCTGGAAAGGGGCGCTGCCCTTCTGCCTACCAAAGGGCAGTGTCCTGCAGTGCCAGCCAGCTGGGGGTGGCCGGTCACCCAGAGACTCTGCAGGACCCAATGAGAAGTGACAACACCCCAGACCCAAAATAATTTTTGCTGTAGTTTTGTTTTCTCTTTGACTAGAGATTTCATTTCTTTTGTATTATATTCTATATATTGTTTTTGCAACTGTAATCACTACTTCCTTTAGAGGAATTTCCCTTGACTGCTTTAGAACTGCAAAAACATAAAGTGATTTGGTGAGATACCACATATCTCTGCTCTAGAGAACAGTCCTAAAACAGACCTAATACTGTTGCTTTGGCAAATGATGTCATCTTCACCATCTATTATTTTGCTGAATTTGTTGAACCAATTTTTGTTCTCGCTGTTTTCTTCCTGTATCTTTCTAGGTCATATGCTCTTTGGATTTTGTTTGGTTTTTTTGTTTAGTGTATACTATTTTTTTTTGTCTGCTTTAACATGACAGTTTCACATAGCCAACATTAGAGAGGCATCAGGGAGATAAAAAAGGGCTCTACACTCTACCCTTGTGCCCAGTGGGTAGGCAGCAGATATTTTCTCTTTGCTTTATGAGGATTTCTGGAAGGTATTCTACTTAATTAGTGTTCTTCCATATCATCTCTTACTGCCTGGTAAGAATGTATTAAAGGAGCAACTTCACATTTTGTCTTTTTTTTTTTTTTTTTAACTTCCCTATCTAGCCTTTTAAAGTCTGCTTCCAAGACTAAATAGCTATCTGATTCCAAAACTAAATAGCCAACAATTTTCTTCTGTTCTGCAGAATGCCAGTGGGGTTGAATGCTAAGTGCAAAAAGGACAAACCCTAAATTTCTACAACTATTTGTCAGGTTTTAAGAGCTGCTGGTAGGACAGTTTTGAATACCTTTTGTCAGGAAGCCTGAGGGGGACCCTTGTTGCTAGAGGCCAAGGTTCATCAAACAAAAATGTATTGGTAGAGACTGTTAATCTTCTGCTTAAAGCATGGAGGAAATAGTTATTTAATTCTGTCACCATTACAACTTTATCATATTTTTATCAGAAGCTCATGATTGCATAAGATAAGTGCCCAGTGTTATTTACTATTTGCATTATACTGTAACAGGATTGACTCTTCAACACAAAATGTGTAAAACAAATTACAGAATCTCAGTGCCTTCCTCAGGGCAGCCCAAAGGCACGTCAAGTTAAAAAGAGAAGTGTCACTGTTTTCACAACAACAGATCCAAAGAGGTATGAAATATGACACTTGGTCTGAAGACAGGAGTTTTTCTGATAATCATCAATTGTACAAACCCTCTTGAAACACTGAATTAGCACCAGAGTCTGAAGTAGTAGCAGAATTTGTTCACCTTAAATAGGACATTTTTTTCCTCATTTCTCTACCGCGGGCTTGCTTTTTATTCTCAAAAGTTTACTGTTTTTTTCTGTCTCACTGTCCAATCTATACAGAACACCTTTCTTCTCTTTTTATCTCTTCTTCTCATTCACTGTCTCCCTTTCTTTTATTTATTTTCTGTTTTTCCAAATTGCTGTTTATCAAGTCAACCATCTGGCAGCAAAAGTTTTTGGGAATAAATCATTATTCCCGCAAAAGTTGTACTGAAAACTATCTAGATCAGTTCTGAAAGTCATAACTGTAACAAGAAGCAACACTGAAAAAAACACCCAGAAAACTGAATGCCCCAAAGTTAGGAAATGAGTTAATAGTGAGTGAAAAATAGTTTAAACAAAAATAACAACATTATGTATTGCGTATTTATATATATGATATCTTAAATAAGATGTCATATATACAATATATATCAAGCCATATAGGATAAAATATATAGCATATGTAATTCTATACAATTTTTTATATAAGAATATAAATTAAATATGTAAAATAACGTGTGAAATAATGTATTTTTTCCTGCTGAAATTAAGTAGGAAAATTTTACGTCCAGGAAAATAATGCACTTCTAGCTAACTGTTCATGATTCTAATTTTTCTTCTAGCTTGGGAACCATTTCATAGGTCTCATTGCACAGAGTTAGTCATGCTGTTCTGATTCACTATGCCAACATGCACAGCCTCAGCTGCCAGAGTAAGTTACAGTAACAGTAGTAATTACTATATGGTAATTTTGACATATATACTAATTTTGAAAAACAATGCTGAAGAACCTGGCCTTGAATGCTGCCAGGGATGGGGCATCCAGTTCTCATGGCAACCTGTTCCATTGCCTCACCTCCCTCACAGTAAAGTTCTTCCTAATATAATACAAAGTGGAAGTTCTTCTACTCTAAACCTACCCTTCTTCAGTTTGAAGCCATTCCCCCTTGTCCTGTCACTATAAGCCCTTGTAAATACTTCCTCTCCAGATCTCTTGTGGGCTCCCTTCAGGAACTGGAAGGCCACAATTAGGTCACCCCTAAGCCTTCTCTGTTCCAGACTGAACTGTTCAAATTCTCTCAGCTTTGCCCCATAGGAGAGGTACTCCCTCCTTCTTGGTGGCATCCTCTGGACTCACTCCAACAGGTCAATGTCCTTCCCGTGCTGGGGACGCTAGGGATGGATGCAGCACTACAGGTGGGGTCTCACCAGAGTGGAGCAGAGGGGCAAAATCACCTCCCTCGAGATCTGCTGTTCACACTCCTTTTGATGCAGCCCAGAATATGATTGGCTTTCTGGGCTGCAAGTGCACATTGCCAGCTCATGTCCAGCCTTTTATTCACCAGCTCCCAAGTCTTTCTCAGCAGAGCTGCTCTTGATCTGTTCATCTCCCAGCCTGTACTGATACCAGGGGTTACCCAGACCCAGGTGCACCTTGCACTCGATCTTTTTAAACTTGATGAGGTTCCCATGGGCTCACTTCTTGAGCTTGTCCAGGTTCTTGGGAGTCCTTCAGGTGTGTCAACTGCACCACTCAGCTTGGTGTCACCTGCAAATTTGCTGAGGGTGCACTTGATTCCTTTGTCTATGTCATTAATGAAGATATTAAATAACACTGGTCACAGTACAGACTCCTGAGAAACACCACTTATCACTGATGTCAACAGAGACTCTGAGCCATTGACCACTACTCTCTGGATGTGACTGTCCAACCCTAAAAGACTCTGCCCCCAGAGACAAGAGAGTGGAACAGAGCTGGCAGATCTTTAGGGAGGTCTTCCACTGAGCACAAAAGCTAGCAATCCTCAGAAGCAAGAAATTGCGCAAACA